CACTTTGCCACATGCCGAAATGATCGTTGCCATCAAAAATCTCAACTGCAAATCTAACATTTGTCACAGCTGTTGACGACGATGTGGATGTTTTTGTTGCATCTGCCATTTCTGCTACAAATTCTATTTAATAGCTATCAACGCGGAATGCCAATTATCCCAAGGAATTTTTTTTTCTGATGTGGAAGATCAGCCTAAGACGCAACCACAGAGCATACTAAAATAAACCAAGAGCTCTGATACCAATTGTTGTGAAATTCGGGTTAATTTCCACCAATAACAGATTCACCTTCGAAACTATTATCTAGGTGACTAGTGTGAAAACGATTGTACTAAAAATCACCCCAAGGTATATTCCCAGGAAAGAAGAGGGGTCACAATAGTTCCTCTTAAAACCCATTTTCCTTAGACAGAACTACCAAGACAAGTAATTTTAATAGGACAATAATTAACAACTATACCCGACAATAGCTATTAAATAGACATAAAAGAGAACACCAAAATATTTCACTAATAGAGGAAATATTACAAAGAGAGAAAGAATACAAATAGCCTTCAATATAGAAGAAGGCTTATATTTGTGGGATGATTAACTAAGGAGGAGGATGGCTTTATTTATAACAAAAGAATTTTCCCTCCTCCTTATACACTCCATCACTTTGCCACATCCCGAAATGATCGGTGCCATCAAAAATCTCAACTGCAAATCTAACATTTGTCACAGCTGTTGACGACGATGTGGATGTTTTTGTTGCGTCTGCCATTTCTGCTACAAATTCTATTTAATAGCTGTCAACGCGGAATGCCAATTCCAAGGAATTTTTTTTTCTGATGTGGAAGATCAGCCTAAGCCGCAACCACAGAGCATACTAAAATAAACCAAGAGCTCTGATACCAATTGTTGTGAAATTCGGGTTAATTTCCACAATAACAGATTCACCTTCGAAACTATCTAGGTGACTAGTGTGAAAACGATTGTACTAAAATCACCCCCAAGGTATATTCCCAGGAAAGAGGAGGGGTCACAATAGTTCCTCTTAAAAACCCACTTTCCTTAGACAGAACTACAAGACAAGTAATTTTAATAGGACAATAATTAACAACAACTATACCCGACAATAGCTATTAAATAGACATAAAAGAGAACACCAAAATATTTCACTAATAGAGGAAATATTACAAAGAGAGAAAGAATACAAATAGCCTTCAATATAGAAGAATGCTTATATTTGTGGGATGATTAACTAAGGAGGAGGATGGCTTTATTTATAACAAAAGAATTTTCCCTCCTCCTTATACACTCCATACCAGTGGAAGATTTAATGATGATTTTTATCATGAGTTGTTTAATTTCAAAATCCTCTATAACACACACCCAAATTCTAAATTCGAAATGCTTCTTTACTCTTTCATTGTTAAAACATCAATTGGGCATGGGAAGTTTTCCCAGTACCACCGATTCCAACAATAGGAAGGACATGCATATCTTCCCCATCGGTTGGATTCATTAAGAAGTGTATGATGTTTTTTTCATCTTCTTCTCTACCGATCACATTAGATGTCTTGACAAAGGAGTAGGTTTCCCTCTCACCATGAACCACATTCTTAACTGGACGTCTCTTAAGGAGATTAAATTTGGACTCAGTAGTTGCAATCTCATCCAACATCTCCTTTGCCTTTTTGATCTTTCGTGCCATACAAACACGAAACGCTAATGGATTGGAGCTAGAAAATAAATGGCGTACCTTTCTTCCGGTGCTTCCACGTCCAAGGACCTCCCTTCTCAGTTCTTCAATCTCAACTTCATCTAACGGATCTTCCACTTGATAGCAAACACCTTTGAACTTTCGTAGCCAAAAGGTAATCTCCTGGTTATACATATGTTGGTCTTCAGCAACCAACATCACAACTTGAATAACCATTAGCACGTCCTCGAGCTTTTCGAGCTCGTCTCGAACACCCCAGATGGAGCAAAGTTCCTGGAAAACAGCACTGCCCAGTTTTCCCAACACAGTTGCTGCTACTTCGAAAGCTAAAGCCTCGGCCATGTTTGAGTTTATGGGAAAAAGGGTTGATGGAGATTATAGATAAAGTGAAGTTTAAAGCTTGTTATTTGATCTGCAATTGTGTTTTAGGGAAGCATAAGCTGTGTTATTGTCAGATGAGAAACAAGGAATCCAAGGTTGACGTAGACGATGACTTGTTTGATTCTCAAGTTCTTATCCTTGTTTTATTTAAAGGCTTTGTTCAACTTGGGTTTTGTTGCTTAGATCTTTTGGGTTTTATGGAGTTTTGTTAGCTACTGTATCCTTGTTAGGGACGAGAACGAGGTGGGAGAGGTCGATGTTTTTTTGACTTGATCTTATTCAAAAATTTAAAAAAATCATTTAAAATTTTATTTATTTCAATATTTAACGGTATTTTACTTATTTGGATTCATATTTTTTTTATTAATTTAGGAAAACAAAGTAATATATGTTTAAAAAAAATTAATCATTTAAAAATGAAAGTTTAAACACATTTACAGTCTCTAATGTTAAATCTTAGACTTCTAAGGATAACAATTATTTAAGTAACTTATTTCATGAGTAATATCAAATTTTAAAATAAAAGCTAGTATTAGCCTAACATATATATATTTTTAAAATCTTTATTTGATAAATATGAAATTAACACACACATAGAAGCATTATAATACTTATTTATAAATATATAAAAATATTATAATAATTATTTGGATTGAGGTAGATATAATTTTTTTAATCTAAATATGACTTTACTCTATTTTCAAATTTCTCTTTAATAAAATCTTCATAAACCTAAATTTTAAATAAAAATGATTATATAAAATTAATATTTAAAGATTTTAAACATCTCTAATCCTAATATTCAACGCATATATACACGGACTAACACAAGATTTTATGTTAGAGGGGACAAACAAAAAAAATTTATGGAGGAAATAAATTTCTAAAATTCTAGGAGATAAAGATAAATTATCAATAAAAAGTACAAAGAAAATATCTAAAAAGTGTGATAATTTTAAATTTTTAGGAAAGCCAATGTTCCCTCATGCTCTCCTCAATATTTCATCCGTGAATATAATTGATACGTCGAGTCAAATAATGTCATCTTACTATATTTTTTTCTTAACTCAATTCATATTTTAATTAATGATTAATTTTTTTAAATATTATTTTATTAAAAATATTTATTTATTTGTTTTTCAAAGTCTTCCGTGATTACAAAGTAGTATATATTAAAAATTTTCTAAACCTATTGATATCATATTCTACAGACTCAATTACTCGAACTCGAGTTCTAAAAAAAGAATAATATTCATTTTATCACTGAAACTATTTAATGAGTAATTTAGACAATAAAATTAATAAATCCTCAAATCAACATGTGCCATCTAGATAATTAAAATTTGAAAAGTTCAATTTTTCTTAAAAATCTTTTTAGACATATTTTTACGGACCTTGAAACGAACAAGGAATAATTCAAGAGAAATTGCTTCAACCTATATATATCTCACAAATCAACACTTCATATTGCTAAATTCCCACAACCAAAATGGCCATAGGAAATCTCACCAAAGTCCTCATTTTTGTAATGGCGGTAGCTATTATGACAAGCCAAGTGAATGGTCTAATGCCCTACACAATGCCTTTATGGGACGTGATGATCCCCGAAGATCCATTTAGAATCCTCAAGCACACACCGCTCAACGTCGCTTCCATCCCGAAAGTGACGGAGCCGGTGGCAGTGGCTCGTTGTGACTGGAAAGAAACCCCGCGGTTCCATATCATTGCCCTCGACATCCCCGGGATGAAGAGAGAAGATTTGAAGATTGAGGTAGAAGACAATAGGGTGTTGAGGATCAGCGGCGAGAGAAAAGATGAGCAAGAAGTGGAAGGACAGAATGGCACATGGCCGAGAGGACTAATCGGAAATTTTGGAGGCAATTCAAGTTGCCTTCAAATGCGGATTTAGATTATGTCAAGGCTCATTTGGAAGATGGGGTTTTGAAGATTACCATGCCGAAGTTTGTCTATGAAGCCAAGAGGCAATCTAAGATCATCGATATTGGTTCGCCGGCTCATTCCGGTGAGGATGTTAAGACCACCTCCAAGACTTCTCAGTAGTGGTGAGAGTGTTTTCCGATGAAGTGTTAGTATTGTAGGCGAGAAACTGGGAATTGTTTAATTGGAAAGTAAGGTGGCTGGCACTTGTAGGAATTAGACCAAAAGCAAAATGGATCACAATAAGTGAACTCAGCCCTTAGTTCCTTTTTGTTTGCCTGTGTGTGAAAATTCAATTCTTTGTTATGGATTTGTTTAGGGGAGTAAAATTAGACTCAATTAAAAAAATAATTTTTAATTTGATTCAATTTTAAAAAATTTAACTCGATTCTATTCAATTTGATGTTAAAAAATTTGACTCGATTTAGTTCGATTCGGAAATATTTCAAATAAAGATTGAGTTATAAAACTTGAATAATTAATATATTTTTAGTAATTAATGATTTAGTTTTCAAGTTCGAGTCGAGTCTTTCAACTGTACATGATATATGTATATTACATACGAAAAAGTATAATATATATGTATATTGTATATGGTTATAGAAAACTCGACTTGATTAGACTCAAATTTCATAAATTCAACTCGACTCGAAAAAATTTCAAATAAATTTAATTTTAAAATAAAAATCTCTAGTTTTAACATGTGTCGATATCTCATTGAGCCACTTTAATTTTGTTTTAATAACGACAATAAATAACTAAAACGATGACCAAATGAAAATAGAACGTTAATTTTGTTTTAATAATGACAATAAATAACTAAAACGATGACCAAATGAAAATATAATGATAAAATGACAGAAAAATAACAAGATTCAAATAACAAATTCATTATATATATATATATTACATGTATCTTCAACTATAAGGGAAGTGAAACTAAGTAGCAAATCAAGAACACCGTTTAATATTTGCTAACAAGTGCCGTGAGAGGCAAACTAGACAAGATTCACTGTGACAAGAAGATCGAGCTATATGAAGTAGTCAACAGAAGGAAGACGAACAACGACAGCGACAATCTGGCGGTGCTTCCGTCCGATGAACCGTCCTCCCGTGCGGACGGTACACTTTCCGATCCATCCCCTGCATCCATTTTTAATGTTTAATTCAGTGACAAAAGAAGAAATCAATGAGATGATAACTATTACGATACCTGTCGGTGTAATGCTCCCGGATTCCGGTGATCCTACCGGAGAGTCTGCTGGAGGCGGAGAAGCAGCTTGTACCATGCAGGCAAAGTTTTGAGTAAATTATCTGAGGTTGAGGTTAAAAAGAATTGAAATGCATATATGTAACTGTTTAAGTGCATCCTTACCATTGCAGCTGCTGATGGGCTGGGTCCGAATATTGCACGAGTCGGGTAAGGCCAAAGCTCGAGTCTGGTTGATGGTGATCCCGAGAGACGAACCGCCACCGTTAAGGACTTGACACAGGCATTGCGGCGATGAACGCACGACGATGGCAAGCTGCGCACAGCATTGTTGAGACGGGGTCGATGAGGCCCCGGTGATGTAATTCAAACAGGGAGATAGGCCGATCAATACGTTCGTGCAACCCGACTTAGCTGTGGCCCCTGCACAAAGCATACCTACTACTAGAAACAGGACAAGATATTTTTCCGCCATCTTTCCGCTCTTCGTCAGTTCTCTCGATACATATATTATGGTGATTTTGGAGAAATCCTGCAGACTGTATTGATTTACTGCAGATTTTTGCAATTGTGAGGCTTTTTATAGGGAGAGTATGCAATGATGGGCAGTCGTAGATGACCAACTACAGGTGTATCTCTTTGAACTGATCAATGGTGGAAGATTTTGTGGGTCACCTATCTCTTTATATATACATATATTCAACTGATGAATATTGCATATTTGACGCAAGATGCAAGGATTAAGAAAGTATACCGTATGAGAAATCAGAAAATTTAAATTAGGGTAAATTACACCAAATACCACTTAATTTTAGATGGTATATAATCTATATCACTGAAATTTTAATTTCTTTAATTATAGCCATAAATTTGGGTTTTAACTTCAACTATGTGACTGGGCCGAAAATTCAAATGATGTGGTGACATTTTCAAAATGACATTATTTTGGTGTGACTATTGATGCTTAAAACGACGTTAATTTAGTCATTAAACTTTAAGGGTGTATCAATTTTTTCATTAAACTTGACGTATGATGTGGACCTATCATCTAAGGCATACCTTGAAACAAAACATTAGAAAGTCATTATCATCGACAATGGTAGGAGGGCACGTATGATGGTTGGTGGTTTAAGGTATTGATTCACCTAATTTCATTCCTAGTTTCGATCCTAATTTCATGGAGTCTAAAGCGTTAATTGTAGCATAGACTTGACGTAAAGAAAATGTTAGATGAATTGAAAGATGCACGGATTCTATGGAATTTAAATTCATTTTATAGATAACATACAAGTTTGTATGTAATTAATGGTGCATTACACAATAAATTGTACTCCTTGATTAAAATGCTAATGAGAAGGTTTCAAACCATAAACTCAATCAAAGATGGAAACACCTTGACCACTAGACTAACCATATATTTGCAGTTTAATTACAACATTGTTCTAATTCTTAGTTAGAAAACTTTTAATTATTAATTTAGTTAGATAATCTTTGAGAATATTGTGTTAGATTACAACTTTTCAATACTATGTTTTTTATATAAATTTTGTATTTATTTTTGTTATTAATTTTAATTTTTTTATTTATGATAGTTAGATTATAACATTTTTGTTTTTAATAAAAAAATATTAAAAAATATAATATTTAAAAAATATATACACTTTTTATGATAATCTTAAACATCACACCAAAAAGAATATGCTTTTTAATATATATTTTTTAAAATTTTCTAGTTAGATTACAACAATTTTTTTTTAATAAAAAAAATATCGTTAAAAAATTTAAAAACCGTAATCTAATTCAAATTATTAAAAGCAGTATACAATTATTTCATATTTTAAAAGAATAAACATAATATTATATACAATAACAAAAATAAATGTAAAATTTATATTTAATATTAGAGTAAATTACACCCATTAATAAAAATTAATAATATATAAAACAATGTTGTATTTATGCTCTTAATATATGTTTGGACTAGTGATAAAGTTTCAAGTTCGAAAACTTTTATTTTCATTTTAACTTCATTTTTTTCTTTCTAAAAATTTCTAGTTAGATTACAATAATTTGGTTATGATATATGTTGGCTGATTGGTTTGTGCCCGTGATGACACTCCTATTGGCCGTGGATCGAATCCACTCAGCAACAAATATTATTTCCTTCAATTATTTTCCTTCAAATAGGTAAATAAATAGAATCCACTCAGCAACAAATATTTTTCCCTTCAATTATTTTCCTTCACATAGGTAAATAAATAGATTAAATAAACTAAAATTAAAATACTCCTCGAATCATTTAATGACATATGTCACAATCTAATTGGATATTAAATTTATTTGATTGAATTAAAATGGTGGCTAAATTGATAGAATGTGTAAATATTGAGGATCAAATAAATAATTATATCAATTTTATTAACTGACACATCACCACCTCCATTTAAAATTAATGGCGGTAGTTTGATTGAAGCATTTAAATAGTTAGGTGATCTGATTGATAAAGTTGATACTTTAGTGGTCAAAATGATTTTTAACTATAGTTTGGTGGTCCCCATGTAGTTTACCCTATAATCAAATTACAATACTAAATTAGTTGTTCGGGTCAAATTCAATAATCAGTTCTTCTATTATTTACAAGTTGTAGATTTAGACTCAATATTTTAATTTAATCAATTTCAGTCTGCGTTTTTCAAATTCTGAAATTTCAATCCTGGTCTAAACGATAGTAGTTAAATATGTTAAGTCAAATTCTGCTATTAGTCCATGTACAATGCTTAAGTTGTAAATTGACTAAATTCAGTTTTTCTTTCTCTAATTTGATCATCTTAGATCCTTATAATTTAATCATATTGTGTCCATACCGTTCATATAAAAATTGAAATTTCAAAAATTTAAAAATACAAAAACTTGAAATTGATCAAATTAGAGTCTAATAACTCCATCCACAACTTACGCATAATATGATGGAATTTGAGTTTTGGTGGATATATGATATTATAGAGGCATGATCCGTAGGAGCCTTAGAAGATACTAGTCCAAGTTGAAGAATAGAGAGCAATGGGCAGCAACAGCAAGGTGAACTGAAGTAGAATTTTCAAGATAACAGCACTTGGAGAAGCTATTCTTGTTTTAGATCCACCTGCACCATTCATATCAACACTTTAATCCAGTTTCTCAGCTTCAATTTCTTCACAATTCTCAATTCTAAAAGATCAATTATCTTCGTTCTAATATTGTACTTGTATTGCGTGTCTGTCGATATTTTTTATAGAGTAAATAAAGTTCCAACTCGAATAGTTGAATGATCTATATATTATTTGAAAAATAGTAATTTGGTATCATCCACAGAACTTGCACCTGATGTTGATGAATTGCTGGTTGGGGTATCCGGTAAACCTTGAGGAGAACCAGGAGGAAATACTGAAGGTGAAGTTCCGTTTGCATCATCTACCCAAAAATCACATACCACAATTAGTATGAAAAGTAATGTAGTATAAATATTTTCGCAAAATTTAACATAATTGGCCTTTTTTTTGTTATTATTATTACTTTTGCAGTTGCTAGGAGGTGGAGTTTTCACATTGCAAAGCTTAGGAAGTGACAGAGCAAGCGTCTGGTTTATTTCCACCCCTAATGACGGACCACCTCCATTGAGCACCATGCAAAGGCATCTTACGTCAGAGCGAACGACGGTAGCGAGTTGTGAGCAGCATGTGGCGGACGGGGTGGAGGAGTTTCCGGTCACGTAATCAATGCATGGAGCCATCGTGATTACCACATCGATACAGTCTGGTTCGGCCGCCATGGTTCTAGCCCATAGCAAGGTTACCATCACCATCACTAGACCTACCGCAAGGGTTATCTTCCTTGACGCCATTTGATGAGTTCTAGGGTACAAGGGGACTATATGGTCTATGTTGTAGATCGTGTTGCTTGAGGTGGACTCTAGGGTTACAAGGGGAAATGGTTTATATAGAAAATGAGAACTTCAACCCTTGCTATTTTAAATTATTAAATATTCAAATCTCTAAACACACTCGAATATACATCCTTTTAACTATTACAATAATAATTACGTCGACTGAATTAAGACTGGATCAACTTTTTTTCTTTATTGTATATATGAACATACATAATACCACACACAACTACTATGGTTGCTTGTTGAACCATGTGATCAATTGCGTGAAAGTAAGGTACTCCGAATGCAACTCGAACGAAGAGATTTAGTAAAATCTTCATGATTGAAGAAATATGTGGAAGATCCCACCGAGTTAAACCGACGAGTTGATGAAATAATGAGAACAAACTTCCTTTTGGTTAATAAATAACAAACTTCTTTTTATGGAAGTATTCAAGAAGAATAGAACATCTCATTTTAACACTGGGTGTAACAAGGATGAGTGTTGATCGAACCAAGTTAAATTTTTAAATTTTTGTTTAAATTTAGAATAAATATTTATAATATTATTATATTTTTATAATATTATGATACTATTTGATTTCAATTTAAATATTTTTTATAACCATATATAATACATATATAGTTATTCATAATTTTTTTCATATATGATATACATATATCATACAGAGTCAAGAGACTCAAACTTGAAAATCAATCTACTAATTACTACAAATTTCAATTTATTCGAGTTGTATTTTATAGCTAGATTTAAACTTATTTTTTTTAAGTCTAATCAAATTTATGAAATTACAACTCGAAGTCAATTCGAGTCGAAAAAACTAATTTTTCGAATGAGTCCAATTGTACTTACTCCTAAGATATAATATAAACAAGCAAGGGTTACATTGAAAATGTGTATCTATACTTTCTGATTAAATCTGTAATAAAAAGAATTTTAATGTCGAATCTTTATTAATATCAATGTCGAGTTTATATTTGAGAAAAATTCTTCCTTTATTCTTATAAGAAAAGATGATTAATCAAATGCGGAAGATATTTTTCATTTTCCATTGCTCAGTTTATTCCTAAATGACTCAAAGTCCCAATTTGACATTAACCAAATAATTGCATATGATTCCTAAATAAGCAATACTGAAAAAAAAAATCTTACACTAAGCATTTATTCCTTCGTTTTGGTTTTTACCTTAAGGATGATGCTGCAACGTTCGACGAACACGAATGAGCATCGTTAATTATGAACACTATTAAATTAATTTATAAAATGTTAAATTACAAAGTATTAAACATATAATTATAAATTAGTTAAAAATCTAAATATAATTTAACTAAAATACAATATTTATAAAACATTAATTTTTAGGGTAAACTATATCATTGATCATCTAACTATTTATCCCTTTTACTTTAACCATCGATTTTTAAATTTTATCAATCGGGTCACCTAACTATTCAAATCTTGTCAATCAAACCACATGCCGTTAAATATTAATGGAGGATATAATGTGGCAGTTAATAAAATTTATATAATTACACATTTAGTCCTCATTACATACATATTATATTAATTTGATCTTAACTTTTATTTAATTCAATAAATTTAATCCTCAATTCGATGGTGACATGTGTCTCTATGTGATAATTTTTTAATATTTTTAATTTAATAAATTTTCCATCCAATCAAATGATGCCACATGTCACCAATTGAATGAATGAAAAATAAATTAAATCAATAATTATTGCAAGTGGGGTTTGAACCTATGACACAAGCCAAAAAACTGAACACCCAAACTACTAAACTAGACCACTAAATTTGACTAATATACAAAACATAATCTACATAATTTATAATAAAATTAATGGTAATAGATGACCTTATAAGGACTCAAACATGAAATAATCGAATAGTATGAAAATATAAAATATATATAAACAAATATTATAATTGATTAATAAATGAATATATTTTATTTATATTTTAAATCACATTTAATGCAAAAATTAAAATAAAAGTGCATTTGAATATATTATAATTGAAATGTATCATTTTACATATTTTAAATTAATAAATTGTTTTCCTTATTCTAATGTTATTGAAATTAAATGTATCATATCTTATATTTTAAAATATTATAACGTTAATTGTATTCTAATTTTATTTAATAACTCTATATTAAAATAGATCAATTAAAGAAAATCAAAATTTTCATAAATTTTCTTCAAATATATAATGAATAAATAATAAAATATAAAATTCTTAATCTAACCGGGATATAAACAAGTCAATGCATAAGTTAAAATGTTTACTATGATAAGCCATCAACTATCAGAAAAATTCCAAGTCAACAAAACTATTTGTTATATTTCAATTATAATATATGAAAATAATTTTTATTTTTCATTAAAATGATTTAAAATATAAATAAAGTACATTCATGTATTAATCAATTATAATATTTGTACATATATACCATATTATTGTATTATTCAATTATTCCACGTTGGAATTCTTACTAAGTCATTTTTCCTTTTTTATTATCATTAATTATATATATTATGTCGTGATAGATTTGTCATTTGAATTGTGCAACCCAATGGTTGGAGTGTTTGCTTCCTCGTCACTTTCAGCGGTTATTGATTCAATTTATTTTCAATTCATTCAATTTATTACACGTGACACCATTTGATTAAATAAAAATTTTATTAAATTAAATAAAAAAATTAAGAAAAATATCAAATCACATAGTGACACATGTCATCATTTGATTGAAGAATAAATTTATTAAATTAGGTAAAATTAAAACGAAATTAATAAAATTTGTAAGTAATGAAGAATAAATATATAATTATAAAAAATTTCTTAACTGACACATCATCTCATCCATTGGCTTAATTGGTGAGATTTAAATAATTAAATAATTTGATTGACAAAATTAAAAAATCATTGATTAAAGTAAAAAGAATAAATAATTATGTTGTCAATGATATAATTTACCCTAAAAATTAATATTATATATATATATATTATATTTTAATTAAATTATATTTAGATTTTAACTAATTTATAAATATACCTTTAATATTTTATAATTTAATTTAATATTACTCATATTTAACATTATTCATTCACCCTCTAAATTGTTTAGTTAACATAATTAATTGTGTAACAATATAATTAACTACTATATCAATTAAAAATAAAAACAATTAAATTAAATAAAAAGTAACATCAATACAGTTAACCATAAAATAAAATTATTAATTTAAATATAATATAAAAAGATAATTATTCTTTAAAGATAATATATTAGCCTTTAATAAAATTTCAATTAAATTGAACTAAATTATAAGTAAATTACCATGTGATATTAACCATTTAGTCATTTTATATATGACATTTGATATTACCATCAATTGTAAAACTCCAACGTAAATAACAGGTCCAAGTTCACTAGTAACACATCTCCGTTGTTTTCTTTAACCAAATTACTTGCTAAATTCTCCATCAAAAGAATAAAACAAAACATGAGCAACGATCTCAAATTTATTACTATTATATTTATATATTAAAATTACAACAAAACGTTACGTGCATCACCATTTCATCATGATCGACTTACATGGCATAACATAAACTTACTATTAATGTCAATAAAAACGAAACACATTATCGCCACTACGGAGAAGTCTTGGATGTGGTCCTGACATACTCACCGGAACCACCTGACGAATCAATGTCAATAACCTTTGACTGCCTCTTGGCCTCATCGGAGAACTTCGGCACGGTGATCTTCAAAACCCCATCTTCCAAATGAGCCTTGACATGATCCAAATCCGCATTCGAAGGCAACCTGAACTGCCTCCAGAATTTCCCATTAATCCTCTCGGCTCTGTGCCATTTCTCCCCTTCTACTTGCTCATCCTCTTTCCTCTCGCCGCTGATCCTCAACACCCGGTTGTCTTCTACCTCGATCTTCAAGTCTTCTCTCTTCATCCCCGGGATGTCGAGGACGATGACATGGAACTGCGGAGTTTCTTTCCAATCTGCTCGAGCTAAAGCCACCGGCTCCGACGTCCCTTTGGGGATGGTGAGCGGTGTATCCTCGAGGATTCTAAAAGGGTCCTCGGGGATCATCATGTCCCATAAAGACCTTGTGTAGGGCATCAGACCATTCACTTGGCTCGCCATGATGGTTGCTGCCATGAGGAAAACGAAGGCTTTGGTGAGATTTTTTATGTCCATTTTGGTCATGGGAATTTAGCAAGGAAACGAGATTGTTAAACTGTTGATGATCTTTGTGTAAGATGATCGAACAACTTTGCTGAGCAGCACTAGTGATTTCACAACATAATGATTTGAGTTTGTGTAGTATATATATACACTCACGGTGAAGAGATTTCTCCGGATTGTTCTCGTTGTTTTGAGACTGCAAATAAGTTAGAGAATTCTCCGGGAGAAAATTGAAGTTTCCAGATCTTAATCTTTCGGACGACACGTGTTGCACTACCCGTATGTGAATTTATAACATTCACAAATGGGTTATATTTAATTTAAAGCTTAAAGAAATGATAAAATTGTTTTTTAAATTTAAAATGAATAAATTAAATTTTAATAAATAATTTTAAATTAAATTCAAGTGAACGATTTACATGATTAAAGGAAGACTACATTCACAACGTCAGCACCATTGTCTTTGAGGAACCACCTCTCGACCTCCTCTAGCTTCTAAATAGATATGTTTCTGAAATTTTGATGGCCGGGACGAATTCGAAAATGTGGATTCTAATAATAAATATTAAAAATAAATAAATTTAGGTATACAAAAATTTATCTAAAATTTCCTTTTGTAATTGTACTAATTTTTGTGTTCGTTTTCTTTTTTTTCCTCAACAAGTAGAAACATATTTCGTAGTAACATTATATCATAAAAATATGAAGCAAAAAATATATAATAATAGCATCTGAATCTTGACGTTAAAATTTTATTCCACTTTTATATAAATTAATCAACAATATAATACATTCTTACCTACATTTCATAATTAACAAAAGAAAAAAAATTGACAACTACAAGCTATAAACATAATAAAATTCAGAATATACATAAATAAAATTAAAACACAATCATAAATTAATAAAATATATTTAACTTAGTTTGACTGGCTTTTTAACCTTTGTATCTTAATTGATAACCACATTCAAATTCAAATATAAAAAATATCAAAAAGAGAATTATCAACTTTTAAAAAATATAATCCAAACAAAATAATAATTTTTTTTGATCGTACGACTCATTATATAAACAAAAGAGAACAACCATTGAACATAAATATGGTTTACTAGTTACATCAAGAGCATAGGAAAACTAAGAGGATAATCATTAATAATGACTCTATTAAATAAAACGAAAATTGAAATAATATTCACTTTTAAATTTTATTTTTGGGTTATTTTTACGGTTGTAATTTTTAATCTTTGTGTTGTTTTATTAATGAATGATCAACCCAATTATTAAAAAAGAAAAAAATAAGTCTAAGCATTATAATATAAAATAAAATAAAGAAAATTAGTTTTACTTTTTTTGATTGGGGCCTCGACAGGGAAAAAGAAATTAATTTCAACTTTGGTTGGGACTCCCGATAGGAAAAAGAAAAATTAATTTTAACCTTGGTTGGAGGCCTCCACAGAGAAAATATGAAAATTAATTTTAATCTTGATTGGACCCTTGGCAAGAAAAAATAATAATTTTAACCTTGATTGGAGGCCTCTACAGAAAAAATATAAAAATTAATTTTACTTTGATTGGGGCCCTCTGCCCAGGCCCATATACGGGTCTTCTTCTAAACAGTGATAAGTCAGGCTTGAGCCCGTTGTAAACTTTTATAGTTAAACTTTATTCTTTTCAAAAAATAAAAAATAAAAAAAAAGAGAGACTATATTGATCTGATATTTAGATAAAAATTTGAATCTAAATATTTTATTTATCACTTGATTAAATACAAATCCAGTTGGGTTAGGTTTTTGTTCTATCCAAATCTAATCTGAATATAAAATATTTTGTCATATGAAGGCCTAGCTAAATAGAAGGCAATCGCCCCAAAAGACGTCCACAATAGTGGCATCAGATATAATTTCTAATAATTACATTATCGTAATGAAATTTACTTAGTTTAATAATAAAAAAAGTTGACGAGCAATTATGAAAAAATATTCAAATTAACAAACAAAAAAGTTAGAGATTTAAGGTTTAACTTTTGGTTATGCCTAATTTTTAAATGAAGTTAACGGAGAAAATTATTCAAAAAAAAAAATGAATCAAACAATTTGAAAAATATGGGGACCGATTTGGAACAAGCAAAACATAACATGCAACACCATTTCACCGATCAACAAACAACATAAGTTATTATTAATCAATTATTCACATAGAACCAAGATAAAAAACCAAACTTGTCACCACTACTGAGAAGCCTTGGAGATGGTCTTAACATCCTCACCGGAACCAGCCGACGAACCAATGTCGATAACCTTAGACTGCCTCTTGGCCTCATCGGCAAATTTCGGCACGGTGATCTTCAAAACCCCATCTTCCAAATGAGCCCTGACATGATCCAAATCCGCATTCGAAGGCATCCTGAATTGTCTCCAGAATTTCCCATTAGTCCTCTCGGCCGTGTGCCATTTCTGTCCTTCCACTTCCTCTTCCTCTTTCCTCTCGCCGCTGATCCTTAACACCCGGTTTTCTTCGACCTCGATCTTCAAATCTTCTCTCTTCATCCCAGGGATGTCGAGGTCGATGACATGGAACCGTGGGGTTTCTTTCCAGTCGCAACGAGCCAATGACACTGCTGCCATTGTCTCCGTCGCTTTCGGTATAGAAGCGATGTTGAGCGGTGTGTGTTCGATGATTTTAAATGGATCTTCGGGGATCATCATGTTCATGCCCCATAAAGGCCTTGTGTAGGGCATCAGACCATTCACTTGGCTTGCCATAACAGCCATTACAAAAATGAAGGCTTTGGTGAGACCTATGGCCATTTTCGTCATGGGAATTTAGCAATGAAACAAAATTGCTGAACAGTTGAGGATGATTGGAAAATTTGCTTAGCTTTGTTGCTGATTTCTCAATGTGAAGTGTTGATTATATATATATATATATATATATATTAAAGGGATTTCTCTTGAATTATTCATGTTTGTTTAAGGTCCGTAAAAAACGTAGGATATTTTAGGTGGGTTGTTACTTTCATTTTAACTAAAATCATTTCCCTATGATATTTTAATTTTATAATAAATAAAAAATAAGATAATCATAAATTAAGATATGTAATAAATTAATATATCATTGGAAAATATTATGAAAAATAAATAAATCATAAAATGACACTAAAATTATCTCAACATAATATAAATATGCTTAAAAATTTACATTAAACTTATTATTAAAGTGCAAGTGTTAAATAAATTTACTATACTTCAAACACATAAGAAAGTGTCAACAATATCTAGAACATATGGTTAAAATTCTTAGTTGACACCTTATATTTTTCTTAGATTATGAGTTTAATACTCATTAGAAGTAAAATTATTCTTTTCTCTTAAGTAGAAATTGTTCAAAAAGAAAAAAAACAGATAAGAGAGTAATTGTATACAATAAAAAGATATATTTTTTTCAATTTAAAATGTGGTTTCAATGGTAAATGATAATGTTGTTTTTCTTAGAGGATTTGAATTCGAATAATTATGTCTATAAGGTATTGTGCATTGTCAATGGGCTAATAAAATTTTTAAACAGATACTATATTCTAATCACCCTAGACTAATAATATTTTTTCAATTTACCAATATAAAATATGAAATAAATTAAGACAATACAAATATAATATAATATAATACACAATTATTTTATAAAATAAATCATTATGACAATCAATGCAAATGTAATATATCATAAAAACACGACACACATATATAAATATAATATATTGTATATTCACCTGATATTTAATTTGTTAGTGGATTAGTTCAGATTTATGTGTTATTAAATGTTCATTATAGACAAAATCTTTTTAACTTAATTAACTTTATAACGTCAAAATTCAAATAAAGAATATTATATAAGGGAATTGGGTTTCATTTTGCTAAACCACCTAAAAGAGGATTGAAATTTATAATTTAATTTACTTTTTAGAATATTATATATTTTTAATATTTTATAATTTTATAGATTTCTTTGAACATTTGATGATTTTGATTTGTTCCTTTTCAAAATTTATAAGGGCCTAGGAATATTGACACCAAAAAAATCAGAAAACCCAAAAGATCTAAGCAACACTTCATATTGAAGCCGATGAAAAGCCCAAAGACAACATCATTACTATACAATGATTTGGTGAAGACTGGCCTAAGATTGCTCATGTCCCTCAAATTGCTATCAGCCTGTAAACATCATAATGATCATTGCAAACAAGTATAAAAAGTATCATCAAATTTCCAAATCCTTTTCCACTTAAGAACATAATCAAGTCAATAGGTAAATAGTTTTTTTAACACTAGTTTTGGTTGCCAAGACACGATTCCTATCGGTACATGCAAATTAAACGTTCAGAACGGAAGAGCAAGTCCACGAAAAATATCTTCAGGATGAAGCAACGGCGGCATCCTTGACAGATTCACGCCAGGCGTACTCTTTTGCTCCATCCTTGTCGACGATCTTGATGACAAAGTTTGGTGGTGCCACGACCAGTCTTGATCTGATCTCCATTATGCATTTATCGACTAAATCAATGGCTTCTTCCACTGTCATGCCACTGTGGTAGTGCCTGTCCATCATGGCTAGAGAGAAGTAGGATCCATAACCAAATGCTCCCTTATCAACTTTATGAAGTGTAGCAATGTAGTCGATATAGTACAGAGACGGGCCTGTCTCTTTGTCATAGCCAGCCAGAAGGATATTCACAGAGTATGGATTCTGGAAAAGCCAAATGTCATTGTTAACAGTAGTAGAAAAGAGGAGGAAGCAGGTGAGAAAGGACCAAATTCAGCATTCTCATGGCACACAGTAAAGAACTAAAAAAATCTTTCTCGTACATGGATATCTTCTGTATGTTCTAAGGCACTTAAGGCAACAAAAATACATATACCTGCTGAAATTACCAAAAGCTTGAAACTGAAAATCAAAAATTTAAATGAAAACTATTGGATAGGGTTTACTGCAGCGAAAGGACACAAGATATCCACATCATGGTTCAAGACTAAAAACGTAAGCATTAAGTTCCCTTCATGAATTTGTTAAATCAATTTGGTTGAACAAAGGTCATGAGAAAAGGAGTTACATTCAATGCACATAAAATATACAGATCTTAACACTGTCAATGAATCAAATGATGATTCCTCCTTGAAAATAAAATTATCTATACTAGTTTCTCAAAACTCAAAACTCAAAACTCAAAACTTTTAATGAGATAACATCATTTGACACACTGACAGTGTATATACCCACAATCAGTGCATAAAATATAAACTCTAAAAATAAACATAGAAAAAACCTTAGAATTGAAGGAACTTCAGAACTAGATTTGCAAGACTCCAGGACCTTAAAGAGCAATAAGTGCACTGAGCACCAACACGAAACAGTCAACCAGATAAGGAAATAACAGAGGCGTCAAGAACAAGAAGATATTTTAATTCAACATCGGAACTCCAAAACATAATGAAATATTTTCATTGTACTCAAAATTCCTTGGACTGTTCTAACCTGATCTTCCACAAAAACAAGGATTAATGTCATAAAGCTTCCAAAGTTGTTCTACCAAAAACTACATTCTAGTATCCTACTTAATTGAAGAGAGGAGTCATAGGGTCATGTTTCGTGCAATAGAAGTATCAACTCTATTCTGAATCATTGTCAACTTAACATGGTATTATAACTATCTAATTCCAAGGATTCCCGTTAAAGCAAGCACAGATGATTGTTTTGGAGAAACTCTCGAGGACCGTAGTTTAACTAGCATGTTTCTTAAAGCAAATGTCCTACCCAAGTTCCAATGCCCAACTTTCATAGATGATATCAGGTTTATTGCTTCTTCCCAATGAAATCATATATTCACAGGAATATCTTTCAAGAAGACTTGGAATAGGAAATCGCATCATTTTATAAGTCTAGTATGTTACATGAAATCCGAAACATACAGCTAAAAGGCCAAATAAAACCCGAGGTTGAGAAGACTATAAGAGACATCTAAGTGACTCGGTATCCAACCTTAAACATCATAAACACATCCAGTAATAAAAATTAATTTGTTTAGGCAAGCAGAGAAAGTGGTTTCCAAGCAAGTACAGACTCTCCAATGGGTTAGCTACGCAGTTCATTTAAGTCACCATTAAGAATGCTGCATCTCTAGTCCAATGTGACATGCAGAAAACGGGAAAAGAAGTAATGTTGTCCTCACATATTTAAGGGCATGGTAAAGCTTTATTGTACATGGCGATTGCTACAATTATAGAAGCCTAAATCTCCAATTCATTAAACCTTCCCTAAAAATTCTACAAAAATTTCAACTAAAAGAATGCCAACATAAGTTCTAAATTAGTCATAATCACAACACGATTAAAACCCTAACTACAAGCCAGAAAATTTTATACCTTCCTTAAGGCAGTGGCAAGCTCACCGCGAGTGAAATTAGCAGCAGCGGCAGTCGTCAGAGGAATACCGTTTCGAAACTGATACAAAGCCACGTTTTTCTGAATGTACTCCGTGAACTGTACTCTGTAGGAGAAACAGAAAGTTACAAAAAAAAATATTAAAATTTTATTATGACGAATAAATATACCTAGATTTATACGGAAAAAGAAAAGAGGGGAACCTGTCGCCGGGTTCACCGCTAGCGGCGATGAGTTTGTGAGAATCGAGGATCATGATCTTGTCTTCGTTAGATTTGTGGACGAGGATGCTGTGAACCGCCGATGTGTCCGCCGCAACGATGGCGAAATCATTGCCTACTAAACCAAACACGCACTCCATTTTCACTTCGATCTGTTGATTTTTTTATACTTTTTCGCCTTTTTTATTCTTCCCTATTGGGTTTCTAGTTTCGTCTGTCTATTTTCTGTATTTAATGTAATTGTCTTGAGGAAGAAGTCGCTCGGAGTGGCAAAATAGTGAAATTTGGGGGCTATTTAGTAATTAAAAGAACGGGTGGGATTATTTATTTTCAAATGGTTTAAATATGTAAAAGGTCCCTGTATTATTTTAATATTTAAAATATAGTCCTTTTATTTTATATAAAAATTGAGTCCCTCTTACCCACTCTCCAGCTCCAAATATCACCAAGGTTGGGCCAATGTATAGGAGCATAAGGTAACCCTTCCCAGTGGTAGAAGGCGGAACTGATGTAGCAGGGAAATTGCTCTCCTTAATCGTAGGAGGAGAATCATTAATTCCATTAGGGTGCGTTTGGTTCACGGAATGTAATATTAGCAGTGAGAATAAAAGATTACCAAGGAATAAGATTACTGGGAATGTTGTATTTTGTGTTTGGTTGGTTTAGCAGGAATGTAAGATTACCATGTTTGGTTAAAGGAATAAAAGATTATTGGAATGTATATTTGACCAAATTGTCCTTATTATATATTTGTATAATATTACAAATTGTAAAATATTTATATATTTTCTTTAAAAAATTAAATTCATAATATTTATATAATTTTTTTTACAAAATAAAAAATATAAAAAAAGTTAATGAAAGGGTAAATTTTTTTTAAACCCCTAAACTTCATATAAAATTTTAATTATAGATTTTTTTTTTTGTAAATCTAAAATAATTTAAGGATAAATTTGTAATTTAACCTTCGTAGATTTTTTATTATTCAATGACAGAAAAAGAATATTTTTGGAAAAAAATAAAAATTTAAGGGCATTTTAGTCTAAAACGCCGGTAATGTTACAATACCTAAGGGAATGGAAGTAATGACATTCCCGGTAATATACTCCAAAAAATCTACTATTGATAATAAAACATTACCGGGAATGAGATTCCCGGCCAACCAAACATGTGAATGTGGGATTCCCATCTTATCCCATGAGAATCCCACAATCCTTGAACCAAACATCCCCTTATAGATATCATTCAAGTTATTCCCATTAGGGGTATCATTCCTAGGAAACTTTTCTTTCATTACGAAAGCAATCGGAGTCGGTCCACCATAGTAACTACAATTGAGAAAAAAAAGCTTTTAATTGACACCATGACAATAAGTAAAAACATTATGCAGTAATCTACAACTTCGGAGCAAGAATGCTAGTTTCTACCCGGACTCGAAGAATCTTATTTATCTACATCCATTTTGGATGAAGCGCATCAAATATTCATCCAATGATATATTGGGTTAAGATTAAAATGAATTCATTCTAACTACAGATTTCCAGGCTTCCTCCATGCAAATGAAAATCTACACCTGACACCCCTAAGCACAAAATGTGCAGTTCAATATTACCAATAAACAAGAACCCAATTGTCCATTTTTCCTGCATACAACTACCCAAATTCCCATGAGCATCACTACTAACAGAAAACAGGTAAGAAAATGAGCAATTAAAAGAGATCAAACTTACTCTGGAAATAGATCTTGATGAAGATCAATATGGAGAGGGCTATCATTCTCGGAACGAGTTTCGTGGATAGGGGAAGAAGAAGCCATACGGGGAGGAGAAGGAATCGACATCATTGGACCGAAATTACCATGTTGACCTGCAAAATCAAGGCACCCCAGAGATTAAAAATGATCGATTCTCAGTCAGCAGTGATCATTGATCATCAGAAATGGTAAGAAACTTAACAAGACAAGGCAGAGAGACTTGGTTAAGAAGACCTGAAGACTAAGAAAACTGGATTTGGAAATTATATTAAAGAATTAAAGAGAAGATAGGAAACCTTTGAGAAATGATTTCCTGAAGGGAAATTCCTTTGTGTTTGATGGGGTTTGATTAAAATTAATTTACAAAAATAAATAAACCAACAACGGCAGCTAGATTTTGTTATCTGTTGTACATGGTTTTCAGAACCGGACCGGTTAGTAAATCGGTCATGTTACCGGTTCACTGGTTCAACCAGTCGAACAGGTTCGACCGGTCAGAAGAATCGGACGACGTCATAATTATTTAAAAAATTAAATAAAAATACAAAAAATATTTAATAAAAAATAATTTTTTATATCACAAATCATATTCAAAGCAAGTCATAGCATATATAAGTTAAAAACCATAAAATCAAGTGAAACAAAATGATTCAAATTAACTACAACATAATATTTAAGGTAAAACATATTAAATAATAAATATAATTATATAACTATAATTAAAAAATAAATTTGGGGCTGAAAAAATCATAACAAAATGATATTGTTTGGTTTAATTTTTTAAAAAAAAAAACAATCCCACATAGCTAAGAAACATAGAAGAGCATCCCAAAAGTCTAAAGAGTAAAAATATTAGAACAAAACAATCTCACATTGCTAAGAAACATAAAAGCGCATCACAACTAACTTCTATAAATAATATAGGTAATTTGACATTCAAAATCATGGAGTCTTTTGGTGAGCATTGAGTGAACTATTCTTTTACTTCAATCAAGCTCGAATTTTAGGCTTCAATCGAGCTTCTAATTTTTTTTTGAGTTTAAGCCTTTTTGAGTTCAAGTTTCAATATTATATTTCGAGTTTGAGTTGAACTTGATAATTTTTAGCTTGTGAGTTTGAGTTGAGTTGAACTTACTTTTAAAGTTTTCAAATTCGAGTCGAGCTCAGCAATACTCGAGTTCGACTTGGCTCGTTTAACAAACAACGTTGTTTGGTTTAATTTTAAAAAAACAAAAAACAAAATTCCCGGTTTTTCCCGGTTTTCAGCCGGTTCGGTTCGAACGGTTCAGCGGTTCTGTCCGGTTCACTAATAACGGTTCAACCGATTTAGATTGAACCGAACTAAGCAACGATTTCCGGTTGAACCGGATTAAACAACAATTCCCGGTTGAACCGATTGAACCGGCCGGTCCGGTCCGATTTTCAAAACAGAGCTGTTCTATGAAGAAGAATATCTAGTTGGTATTAGCATGTTATTAAATTACTCCTCTACCCCTTCTAAAAACATACTACTACTCATTTCTCAAGTCTAGTAGGTGCATATCCAAATTTAAAATTGGACTCCAAAAAGTTTAATACTTTTTTTTCAATAAAATAGATACGTATTTTTTTTCATTCTCTAAATAAATTAAACTATATTTAATAATTTATTCAAAATAATAGTTATATACTTAACTATAAGCCTAAATACATTCCCTCTAAGTCTAATTTTATTCGATTTGATCAAATTTTAAATTTTGTAACCGTTTATGATAATTTTAACAAAATAAACACTAAACATATTGACATAGATACTATTATAACATAGATATATTGATATCTAAAAATATCCAATCTTAAAAACCTTCTACTGTGATATATTTCTTGGTCACACCCCTGCTAGTGGTAGTTGTTGCTTTGCTTGATATACATGGGAGCAGATTAGGGTTTACCATGGTGATATTATTAGTCTATGCTAATGTTATTTTTTAACAAATAAATTTGTGTAAATTGGTATAATCTTGAAAATGAATATTATTTTTAAAATTAATAGAGTTTTTCAAACTTTGTACATTAGAAGTGAAGAATCAGAACTCACTTATGTTCTAATTAGGAAGATAACATATCCTTTTATTGGAGTAATAGTATATTCGTATAGAGTACAATAGTATATTCGTTATTTTGGAAAAAATATTAAATCTAATTTAATATGTTAGAAAAAAAAGTGATTTTGAGGAAATGGATCTTGCCATATCCATGCGACAGAGTAACTTGACAGGGAAACTACTTCCTTCAAAGCATTCATTCTTCATTCGCGAATCAAGGTAATATACATCATTGTTATATGCTTTGAATTCTTAAAAAGAAAGACACAGCATAAATTTAAAACTCTAGGGTAACTTGATTTGTTCATAATTTTGGAAATCATGTGGCAGTTAGGAGATTTCTGGGAATAGCTTTGGTTGCTTGCTTCTGTGCAATTCATAACCATGGGTTTGAGATGCTCATTTCATTCTCAGCAATTGTGCACCGCACTCCTAGCCCTCCTGTTGGGTTTAGCATCTTCAGAGCAGCTCTCAACAAATTATCTCTACTCATGTCAGTTTGTACATCCCCAAGCGCATCCTACTGCCATGATGAGAGGAGGATAGCATCATTCCTTTGCGAAATTGGGCACAAGTTTTTATCCATCAAGTGGAACCTACATTGCTTTGCTGACTGTTCTTCTTATACTTTACCTTGTGATACCCAACCATATATCATTTTCATACATCTTCCTTCTCCGTGTTACGATTATCGAAATCAGAAATAAACGTAAAATTTTATGTTAGAGATTGATTTTCTAAAATTTTAGAGAAAATAAACTTATAAAATTTTAAGGATTAAAATATTTTTTAATAAAAAATATATAAAAAATTATAAAATATATAAGTAAAAAATTATTTTTAAGGATCGACTATCCCAATCCCTTCCCTCCATCGATAATCGGAACACAACTTGTTGAGAGAACGAAAAGTCGAAAAGACTCATATGGTTTCCATTAAAATTATATGCAATCATGGTGTTCATTTTTGTTTATAGTTTAAGCATTTTAACAAGCTTTAAAATTTAGCTATAAGGTAGAATAATTTAGAAAATGAGAATTAAAATAAAAATAAAAATAAAATAATAGAAAGTTAAGTATCTGACGTGTAAAAGATCATGAGTTTTGAAAAATAATGAGTCGAATATCTAACCTGAACTTGAATAATTAAAAAATATATATTTGATATTTTTATTCAAGACAACAGATAAATAATATGAAATCAAATAATTTTGAACACCGCTACAAGATTTAAACTAAAAATAACTGATAATTTCGAATTAAATTCGAAACACCCTTTACACTGCGTGTCTACAAAATAAAACTGGAAGTTACGAGCTTGCACTCGGCAGCTAAGATATGGAAGTGCCATGTGTAAAACTCTTGTGCCATGTGTCCCTCTTCTTCCAGACACCTTCCTCCATCACAAAACTGCCATGTGTACGCTCACGTGCCACTGTTGTTCTACGTGTCGAATCCCCAACACTCCAATACACCGGACAATCCCCTCTATATACACGTCGTACAAATGTTTCCCCGTACACAACACCAACAGCTCGACGCCGTAGTTGCCAGAAAATCCAAGCAGAGAAGAGAGCCATCATTTTCATTTACCCGACAAGATGAGCCAGGGACAGCCAAGTAGGCCACAAGAATCAGCTCAAGGCGAGAACCAACAAGAGCCGATCAAATACGGTGACGTTTTCAACGTCAGCGGCGAGCTCTCCGACAAGCCTATCGCTCCTCAAGATGCGGCCATGATGCAGACGGCCGAGACTCAACTCATCGGTCAGACCCAGAAAGGCGGAACCGCCGCCGTGATGCAAGCTGCTGCCACGAGGAACGAAAAAGTCGGCTTCGTGGGCCATAATGATATCACTGACATCGCTGGAGAACAAGGCGTCAGCGTCGCCGAAACCGATGTTGCCGGCCGCCGTATAATCACCGAGTCAGTTGCCGGGCAGGTGTCTCAATAACTCAAATCATCTACTTTTTTTTCACCCTTCATTGAACACGTTAAAAGCAATGCTTTCATTTCTTCCTAGGTTGTTGGACAATACGTTCAAGCCGTTCCGGTCCTAACAACCCAAGTCGGAGCTGTTCAGCAAAGTGCAATAACTATAGGAGAAGCACTCGAAGCCACCGCCAAAACCTCCGGCGATAAACCCGTCGATCAAAGCGACGCTGCCGCCATCCAAGCAGCTGAAGTCAGAGCAACAGGTTCGAACGTCATAATCCCCGGCGGACTCGCTTCGACGGCTCAGTCCGCCGCCGCTCACAACGCAACCCTGGACCGCGACGAGGATAAGATCAAGCTGAATCAAGTTTTAATGGTAGCTTTGAGGGGGGTACTTCTTTCTTGCGTTGCACCAATTTCGATCGGTTCATAGTTAATGATGATTTATATTTACTTCGTAGGGTGCGACGGCGGGACTACCGGCGGATAAAGCGGTGACGAGGCAGGATGCGGAAGGGGTGGTGGGTGCAGAGCTGAGGAACAGTCCGAATGTGGCGACACATCCGGGAGGAGTGGCGGCGTCTGTTGCTGCAGCCGCTAGGCTTAACGAGAATAAAATTAGTTGTCCCTTATTCCCATATATAATGAGATAAGGGGAGGTAAGATAGTAGACTGCCTCAACACTAGGCTTAACGAGAACGTCAACATATAATTATAGTAACAGTTGAAGTGTTTTAAGAGTGTATGGTTTTACCTTAAAATATAATGTTTGCGACTGTATGGAGATGCCATAAAATGTCATCTTTTGTGTAAGACTTTGTTTTTCAATACATTATCTAAATAATCCTTTATAGTTTTGGGATATACACATAATTCTTACATAATTAATTAATATTTTAATAATTTAATCTTAAATTTAAATTTATTACACTTTCATATTTTAAAAATTAAATTTATTACACTATCTTTCATATTTTAAAAATTGATATCCATAAATTATATCAAGAATTTGTGATAGTGATCGGTTAATCATACAATTAACTTATAAAAAAAGTTGATATCCCTAATTTATATTAGGAGTATTTGTAGTCGGTTAATACTTCGTGAGAACGAAATAAAACATTGACATTTATTTCAATATAAACACTAAACATCAATAAAATGTTGATAAAAAATAATTAAGTCAATAAATAATACTACTAAATGCCTCAAAAATTTATAATTAAAATTTTACTCCGTTATGAAAATTTCAAGCTTCCTCCTAAGAATGAGATTAAGTTTAAAGGACTTGGAATTTTAGGCTTAATGTTACTGGACTAGTAATTGATTGCTTCTTTCAGCCTATGACTATCGCTTGGACTTGGGCATGCCCAAGAGGTGTGATCCGGTTCCACACTTCGGGTCAGTGTCACAATTAATAACTTATTTAAGTCAATAAGTCAACATATAGATAATTATTAGTCCATCTTTATATTCAAAAGAAAATGGCCAATAACGAAAATTTTAATTTTAATACATCATATTATTTTTTAAAATTAAATTCAATAAATATCATATATTTTAATATTTGAAATTCACATTTTTTAATACAATACTTTTATTTTTATTTTACAAAATATCTGCATGTCACATATACAATTATATATTTAAAAGATAATATTATATCTTAACCCATACCATAAATAATTTTAATGATTGTTTATTATCACAATATTATATCATCAACTAAATATATAATAGCATATGTCTCATTCGAATATTAAAATATCTAATTTAAAAATTGTCAAAAGTTTTTAAATTATATTAAAAATAAAAACTAGTAAATAAATGGCCAATATTAAATGCATCGCCATCATGAAGTGTTGTCCAATTCAACGCCACTGGAGCACAAGACTGAACACATCGAAGACTTCGTTGATTACACAAAACACGGTTTTGGTTGCCATGTTTCCACCCCCTTACCGGCTTGACTCACGGTCATTTCCACCACAAGATGAACCGTTCAACATAATCCCAATCCACAATCTCCACACGGATCATCCCTGCCTCCGGTACCAACAAGTACACACAGTCGTATCATCCTTACAGGCCGTCGGCGACCTCCAAAAGCCGCCGTTCCACCCATGGCTTCCTTCCATGGACCTCCTCGATTGGTTGGGAATGTTTTTTGGTTTCCAACGTGATAATGTAAAGAACCAAAGGGAACACCTTGTTCTACACTTGGCCAACGCCAAAATGCGACTCTCTCCTCCGGACGACAACGACGGAACCTCCCAAGCCATAGTCCTCCGTGAGTTCCGCTGTAAGCTTCTCGAGAATTACACTAGCTGGTGCTCTTATGTCGGGAAGGCATCCAACGTTTGTATTTCAGACAGCTCCAGCTGTGGTTCGGATATTTCCAGAAGAGAATTGCTTTACGTTGGACTTTATTTGTTGATATGGGGAGAATCTGCAAATTTGAGGTTGATGCCTGAATGTATCTGCTACATTTTTCATCACATGGCCATGGAACTGAACAAAATCCTTGATGATTACACTGATGAAGACACTGGACAGCCATGGATTCCATCGACATCAGGAGAAAACGCATTCCTAAACTGCGTTGTGAAGCCCATATATGATACTATCAACATTGAGGTTGGTAGAAGCAAAAACGGAACCGCCCCTCACGATAAATGGAGAAACTATGATGATTTCAATGAGTACTTTTGGAGCAAGAGGTGCTTTCATACTCTCACGTGGCCACTTGATTTCAGCAGCAGTTTTACAAGTGAAAGGAAAACTGGGTTTGTCGAACAAAGGACGTTTTGGAACGTTTTCAGAAGCTTCGACAGGCTTTGGTTGATGCTGTTTCTTTCCCTGCAAGTGATGGTAATCTTGGCCTGGGAGGAGAAGAAACTTCCATGGTGGGCTTTGGATAACAAAGATGTTAAGATTAGAGTTCTAACATTGTTTATCACATGGAGTGGAATGAGGTTTCTCCATGCTTCACTCGAAGCAGCCATGGAGTTCAGTCGTGTTTCGAGAGAGACGTTGGGACTCGGCCTTAGGATGGTGCTAAAGATTTTGGTTGCTGCAGCATGGACTTCTGCTTTTGTGACTTGCTATACAAGGATCTGGGCACAAAAGAACAACGACAAACATTGGTCTGATGAGGCTAACCAAAGGGTAACTCTTTTTCTAAGGCTTGCATTTCTTTATGGGTTTCCAGAACTAGGGAAATTGGTATTCTTTTTTCTTCCCAGTATTACTCTGAACTGTAAGGTACTTTACCCGATTTCATGGTGGTTCCATGGTGATTGTTTTTTGGGTCAGGGGCTGAAGGAGGGTGTGGTTGATAGTTTCAAGTATACTCTATTCTGGGCGGTGGTGTTAGGCACAAAATTTACATTCAGTTACTTCTTCCAGATTAAACCCTTGATTAGCCCGACAAAACAGCTGTTGGACTCGACAATAACCGAGTACGAGTGGGACTGGCAAACAATCTTTAGTGTCAGCAACAAGTTCATCATCGGATTGTTGTGGTTGCCTGTGCTGTTGATTTACTTGGCGGATACTCAGATTTGGTACTCTATCTATTCTCCCTTTGTCGGGGGTGCAATGGGGTTGCTACAGCAGCTTGGTGAGATCAGAAACATTGAGCAGCTAAGTTTGAGGTTCCGGTTCTTCGCCAGTGCCATTCAGTTTAACCTGATGCCACAAGAGGAAACAAAGATTACTTGCAGAACCTTAAGGGAAAAATTCAATGAAGCTATTCATCAGCTGAAGCTGAGATGTGGGCTCAGTCAGCCTTTCAAAATGGTCGAACTCGAATCGAACCAAGTCAAGGTTAGCACGTTTGCTTTGATATGGAATGAAATAATTACCACTTTTAGGGAAGAAGATATCATATCGGATGATGAAGTTGAACTATTACAGTTGCCCCCAAATTCTTGGGAAATCAAGGTTATTTGTTGGCCTTGTTTTCTTTTGGGGAATGAATTGCTACGTGCTCTTGTTCTGGCTACGGACTTGACTGATGCTCCCGATAACTGGCTGTGGCATAAAATATGCAAGAATGAATATAGGCGCTGTGCTGTGATCGAAACATATGATTCTGTCAAGTACTTGATGCTTCATGCGCTAATCAAAAGCAATACCGAGGAGCATTCAATTCTCAAAGTCATATTTCAGGAAATCGATCATTCTATTGAGATCGGGAAGTTCACTGCAACATTTAGAACTGCTGCACTGCTCCAAGTTCATTCCAAGTTGATAAAACTTGTTGAGCTGTTGCTTGATCCCAACAGGGATGTGAATGAGATTGGTTATGCCATGCAGGAACTTTATGAAATTGTTGTCCATTCCCTTTTTAAAGCAAAGAGAACTACATACCAGTTGAGGGAGGATGGGTTGGCTCGTAAAAGTCAAACTGCCATGGCTGGAACGCTATTTGAGAACACAGTTGAATTGCTGGATCCTGGTAATAAGAACTTCTATATGCAAGTTAAGCGCTTGCATACAATTCTTACCACTAGAGACCCAATGCAGACCATTCCTGGTAATAATGAGGCAAGACGTCGACTTGCTTTCTTTAGCAACTCACTCTTTATGAAAATGCCTCGAGCTCCTCCAGTGGAGAAGATGACAGCTTTCAGTGTCCTTACCCCTTTCAACGACGAAGATGTTTTATACAGCAAAGAAGCACTCCAAGCTAAGAATGAAGATGGGATTTCCATCTTGTATTATTTGCAGACCATTTACGATGATGAGTGGAAAATTTTCATCCAAAGAATGCAACGAGAGGGAATGGAAACAGCTGATGAAATATGGACAACCAGATTAAGAGATTTAAGGCTTTGGGCATCTTATAGGGGTCAGACACTTGCACGCACTGTCAGGGGAATGATGTACTATTATCGAGCTCTAAAGCTTCTAGCTTTTCTAGATTTTTCATCAAAAACAGATACTAACGTAATAGAAGAGGAAGGTATTGCTTTGATGAAGTATACATATGTTGTTTCCTGTCAGAAGTATTGGGAACATAAGGCCGAAGGGGACCCTCGTGCTGAGGAAATCATGGATCTTTTGAAACACAATGAAGCCCTTCGAGTTTCCTATGTTGATCAGGTTTCAACAGGGATAGATGATAAGGAATATTACTCTGTTCTCGTTAAGTATGACCCGCAATTACACAGGGAAGTGGAGATCTACCGAATCAAATTGCCTGGTCCAATAAAGCTTGGAGAAGGGAAACCAGAGAATCAGAACCACGGCTTTGTCTTCACTCGTGGTGATGCGGTTCAAACCATTGATATGAACCAAGACAACTATTTTGAGGAAGCACTAAAAATCCGTAACTTGTTGGAAGAATTCATGCACCACCATGGAATCCGTAGGCCAACTATATTGGGAGTTAGAGAACATATTTTCACTGGCTCCGTTTCATCAGTTGCTTGGTTTATGTCAGCTCAGGAAACAAGCTTTGTTACATTACTTCAGCGTCTCTTTGCGAATCCACTGAAAATCCGAATGCATTATGGCCACCCCGATGTCTTTGACAGGCTTTGGTTCTTGACTCGTGGCGGCCTTAGTAAAGCGTCCAAAGTTATCAATATCAGTGAGGACATTTTTGCTGGCTTTAACTGTACTTTGCGAGGGGGCAGTGTCACACACCATGAATACATTCAGGTCGGCAAAGGAAGAGACCTTGGGTTTAATCAAATATCAACCTTTGAAACCAAGATAGCTTGTGGGAGTGGTGAACAAATCCTCAGTAGAGATGTTTACAGGTTGGGTCAAAGACTTGATTTTTTCAGGACGCTATCATTTTTTTACACAACTATTGGATATTTCTTCAATACAACAGTAATCATCCTTTCTGTGTATGTATTTGTATGGGGTCAACTTTATCTGGCTCTCAGTGGTGTAGAGAATTCCGTTCTGGGGAACGATAACAACAGCAAGAAAGCAGTCAGTGCCGTTATCAATCAAGAACTCATCATTCAGTTTGGACTGTTTACTACCCTTCCAGCACTTTTTGAGAGCTCCATTGAGACTGGTTTCCTTGAAGCCATTTGGGAATTCTTGGTTATGCAGCTCCAGCTATCAACTGTTTTTTATACATTCTCAACAGGAACACGTGCTCATTTCTTCGGTCAGACTGTCCTTCACGGGGGTGCAAAGTATCGACAAACTGGGCGTAATTTTGTAGTGCAACACATAAGTTTCACAGAGAATTACAGACAGTACGCACGCAGCCATTTCATAAAGGCCATTGAGTTTGGATCAATCCTCATAATTTATGCAATATACACCCCGTCGGCCAAGGTCACATTCTTTTACATAGACATGGTAGTTACATGTTGGCTTCTAGTTATCTCATGGATATTTGCTCCCTTCCTCTTCAATCCTTCCAGTTTCGATTGGCTAAAGACTGTGAATGACTTCGATGATTTCATGAAGTGGATTTGGTACCGTGGTGGTGTGTTTGCAAAGGAAGAACAGAGCTGGGAAAGTTGGTGGTACGAGGAGCAGCACCATTTACTCACAACAAGCCTTTGGGGAAAGCTACTGGAAATTGTATTAAACCTTCGTTTCTTCTTTTTCCAGTATGGAATTGTATACCATCTACGAATTGCAGGCCAAAGTAGGAGTGTGTCAGTTTACTTCTGGTCTTGGATCTACATTTTTGTGGCATTCGGAATTTATCTAATAATGTCGTATGTTCGGGACAAATATGGAGCAACAAAGCATATATATGTTCGGATAGTGGATTCCCTGTTGATGATACTTGGGATCCTTGTCATTATTGCTCTGAAAGCTTTTACAGCCTTCGAATTTGTTGATATTCTCATCGGTCTGTTGGCTTTTATTCCCACTGGTTGGGGACTTATATTGATTGCTCAAGTATTTCGAACCCTTCTTCGGCAAACCAGACTCTGGGATTTGGTGGTCTCCATGGCTCGATTGTATGATATACTGTTTGGAGTTATTGTGATGACTCCAGTGGCAGTTTTATCATGGATGCCTGGATTCCAGTCAATGCAAACAAGGATTCTCTTTAATGACGCATTTAGCAAAGGTCTGCAAATGTTCAAGATTATTACAGAGAAAGTACATCAAAAAGATGCCTAAGCTCCACTTACTATTGCAGGTAATTTTAATCATCATTTTCTTACACGAACCACTTTCTTTAATCTAATTTTCCATTTTTATAAAAAAATTTCGGGTGTATGTTTAGCCAATGAGAAAAATTGTAGTCTTGCATCTTGTGGAAACTGAAAACAGATTTGTTTTTGAGTATTTTCTCATTGATTACAGTATACAAAGTTGGTCTTTTATAGACTAGAGTTTTACCCTGCAAGGGTGCCCTAACAACTATACAAATTTTTAAAATTTAAATTAGAGATAAAGCCAATCTAATCAAAATCAAGTAACAAAATAACAAACTAAGTATATCCACAACTCACACCTTTTGTGTTCCATCACATTTTGGCAACTTTTTCCCACTACATGCCTACTTGACTAATCTAATTAATGTTAGCAGCATGGTTAAGTGTTTTATATTAATTTTGTTTTTTCTAGTGTCCTAGAATTATTTTTTGTAGGCTTTATCATGGAATGCATAATAACTTAGCTACTAAAATGCACCATACAAGATAGTAAACATTTTTTTGGTAGAAAGCAAGATAGTAAACATGAGTGTATGTATATGTGTGTGTGTGTTTCTAGTGTCGAATTTGTAGCACAAGTAAATATATATAAACATACAGAACTATATGTTCCAAGACATGTTTCATTTGGAATTTCTACCGTTTACTCTGAGCTTTTACCATCTCCATTGCTGAGAATCTATATGAATTAATGGCTGCAAATCTCATCTATTTCATTATGTTTTACTTGATTTCCGGTAATCACTTCCCAGATGACTTACAGTAACTTTATGTTTCGATGAATCGATATTTTCATCTATTTGCACACCTGAATATGCATCGAATACAGATATCAGATTAAATACTTTAAGAAAGAAAAAAAAAAGTCTACTTCATCGATTTGCTATGAACTAATGTTGCATCATCAAGGCAATTCCTTTTTTTTTCTTGAAAAGTAAAGCATTTTATTCAAAGACTTGAGATGGTCATAATTAAGGACACAATTACAAGAGGCCCCACGATAAAAGTGCCAGCCCCAGACAAAGCCACCACTACGTATCACTCCCTTTCAAAAGCCACGCCCGCACAAGCACCATTAATCAGAATACATTAAGCTATGAGGTCTATTGACACCCTCCTTAGTTTGTCCGCATCTTTATTAATCAATCTGGAGATGTGCCTAGTGCACCATTTACTGTCCAGCTTCAGGAAATCAGACAACAAACTCATATTCTTTATCATTGTGGGAACTTCATTTGGCTGCTTGATCCAGTTCACGATGCAACTACAGTCGCATTATATTCCAACTTATGAGGACCTTTAGATCTTGATGATAGGAAGATCAGCCTAGATTCCTTGACAACAAAGAGCTCTGCAATCAAAGTCTCAACCATTTCAACAGATTTGGAGAAAGTTAAGAGGATGACCCTAAGTTTAACCATTCCTTGACAGCAAGGACAGTGATTCATCTAACCAATTTGAAAGTTTAGAATGCAAACTGAAAATGTAGTCAAGAACATATCATCAGCATAGCCAGCTAAATAAACTTAAGTTGTAGATACCAGCGCTGCTTTCTTGGGTCTTCTCTGTTTAAGCTTAACCTTCACATTAACGCCGTTATCAATAATAGATTGAAGAACTATCTGAAGCTTCCCTTCTATTCTGTCCCCTTTCCTTGGCGTGTAAATAACATCATGGATATCATCATCCAAAGCTCTTTGAGCCAAAACTGAACCCACAGCAGCACAAGCAGACGCATTTCTAGTGGAACCTATGTCAAATTTCATATCCTTAGATATGGAATGAGCTACAGCAACAACCTTGCTAGTGGCCCGGTGAATGATACAGGCTCGAACCGATGCTTTTGATATGTAAATGTCAAGGCAAAATGGTTCATGATAAGGACCGGTGAGTTGATTAAAAGTGGGTGTTCTCACCTTCTTCTTCGTCTCAACCGAACAAACCTCCACTTTGTCAAGAATATTTCCAACACTTCCATTTTTAGCATCTTCAAGCAGTCTAACGTTCGATTTCTCAACCCTTTTACTTTCTTTAGGATCATCCTTCTTATGCAAAGACTCCTTATTTTTGCTTTCTTTACGATCATCCCTGTTATTGGGACCTTTCTTCCTATGAAAGTCATAAGCATACTCCTCAAACTCCTTGGAACCACGGTCGATTTTATAAAAGAGGTTACCCCGAATTCTCATATTATCTATGTCATCAAAGTCTTGATCATCTTCAATTATATGAGAACCATTTACCACCCTTCGATCAACTAATTGGGTAGAGGGTAGAGTTCCCATTTCCCCATCAAACCCCTTGTAAGCATGAGCTATACCCGATGAGACTCTCCAGGTTTCATCATCAACAAGCTCAATATGATAAGAATCCAAACGATAAAAGCCATCGTTGAACAAAGGAGAAAGATGAAACTTACTAGAGTAGTTGGTTGGCTTGATATCTTCCTTATTGACAGTTGGAGGAACCCCTGAGCAAAAACCACGTAGTCTAGTGAGGAACCCAGAATTCCTAATTGATGGGAATGCAATGGCTTTTCTAATCAAATATAACGCCATTTTGAATGCCGGGGTTTTTGTTGTTGGCAGAACGGAAGAAGCATTCAGAGGCAAATCATCAAACAGTTGGTGGACCAACTGAGATTTACTTTTTCCAATACAACCACACGTTCGATTTTAAGGCTGGAAGTGTTTCTCTTTCGTGTTCTTTTTTCGCCAGTTAGTAAAGCGTAGTTTTAGTAAATACAATCTGTTAAAATCCTAAAATCGATGAGTCTATGAGTACACACTACTGGGGGAGGCAGCAGAAAGGCAGAATAGGGACAGATTGAATTAAATATAAATCGTACAGCACGATTCATCAATCACCCAAATTTGGAAGGCTTAATACACAAAATTGAACCCTCAACTTGATATTTTTTTTTATCAAATTGACCCCTGAGCTTCTTTTTGTTCCAATTCACCTCCAAGTCCAAGGTTAGAAAACACGAGGCAAGAGAGTCCCATAGACCGACGCCGTTACATTTTGAAGTTAATTTGACAAATTAGTCATTAAATTAATTCTTTAAGTCGTTAAATTATTTTTTATCAAAATTAATTCTTTAAATCCTTAAACTATTATATATATAACTATATTTAACTATTTTTTGTTAAAATAAGTATATAGTTTTGTGTGATATATCAACATCTTATTAGATGAAAAAAGTTTATGACTGAACAAGAATGATTATTTGTAATAATTTAAGGATTTATTTTAATAAAAGAAAATAATTTAGAGACTTAAAAAAAGACATAGTTTAAATATTTATTTTTACTTTAAGGATTTATTTTTACTTTAAGCCTTATTAAATTGATCCTAGAACTTTTGATTTGAATTTGAATTTTAAATTTTAATTAATTAAATTAAGTATTTATTAATAAAAACATTTAATATTATTAGCTTAATATATTTTATACAATAAAAACTCTCTTCAAATATATAGTAGAGTTAGGCATTCATGGTAATTTCTTGAACCGTTAAATAGATAAATACACATATATGCGGTTCACATTAAAAAAAACAAATAGACATGGCATGATTTGTACCTTTCGATTTAAAAAATAATAATCACAAAATTAGACTTACCATGCATTTGTTGTTTATGTGTGGCTCTTTTTAATTACAAGTAATATTACAAGTACAATTACAGTTATAAATACAAAAAATACAATTTGAGAAACTATTACCAAAATCAATCGTATCAAATTTACAACAAGGATAAATCAAAATAAAATTTACATGTTTTTTTAATTAATCTGAGATAAATATAAAATAATATTATATATTTGAAGGTAACTCTCACTTACTTAGACCAAAATAAAATTGAACTAAGAATCCTCGAGTGTAAGACATTGTTCATTACTTCACGATCACCTACTTAGAAATACAGCTTCTCACCATGCCAAATGCTAGAAGCACAACAGTTATAATTAACACAGATATTGCAACCATTAAAATGGTTAGTCAATACAAGCAAACCATTTAGAAAGAAACTTACCTCGGTTGGCAGCCGTCGTGTCCGTAGTTACTACAGTCTCCGGTTGCAGTCGTCGATTATCCGTATGCAGCAGGATGGTTCATGATACCACCGTTACTGGTCCGTGTTCAATTGTTAACTTCTTTATCCGACCAAAACAACTGTCTCTTTTGATAAAGTGACGGGGAACCTTTTTCTTTTTCTTAGCTTTAGAGAAATGGTGGGCACCAAGTTTTCTCTTTTGTTTCCGTCATGTCACTTTCGTATAAAATAAAATAACAGTTACATTGAAAACTCCAGTTTCAAGATAAACACCATTGGAAGACATAATCAAACACATCCAAGACTTCATTGACCAGTAAAAGTTCAGTCTTGGTGCCATGTCCCAATCCCGTTGCCGGCCTGACTCACTGTCGTCTCCACCGGATGATGAACCGTTCAACATAATCCCTACTGATAATCTCCACACTGACCATCCCTGCCTACAATACCCTCAAGTACGCACCGTCGTATCATCTTTACGGGCAGTCGGCAACCTCCGAAAGCCGCCGCTCCACCCATGGCTTCCTTCCATGGACCTCCTTGATTGGTTGGGACTGTTCTTTGGTTTCCAACGGGATAATGTAAAGAACCAACGAGAACACCTTGTTCTCCACTTGGTCAACGCCCATATGAGTCTCTCTCATCCTCCGGACAGCAGTGGAACCTTCCAAAACATAGTCCTCCGTGAATTCTGCAATAAGCTGCTCGAAAATTACACTAACTGGTGTTCTTACCTCGGGAAGGCATCCAATGTTTGGATTCCGGAAAGCTCCAGCTTTGGTTCTGATGTTACTCGGAGAGAATTGCTTTACGTTGGACTCTATTTGCTGATATGGGGAGAATCTGCGAATTTGAGGTTCATGCCTGAATGTATCTGCTACATTTTTCATCACATGGTCATGGAATTGAACAAAATCCTAGAAAATGACATTGATGAAAATACCGGACAGCCATGGATTCCACCGATATCAGGTGAAAAAGCATTTTTAAACTGCGTTGTGAAGCCCATATACGATACGATCAATGTTGAGGTGATGAGAAGCAAAAATGGAACAGCCTCTCATGATAAATGGAGGAACTATGATGATTTCAATGAGTACTTCTGGAGCAAAAATTGTTTTCACAATCTCAAATGGCCACTTGATTTCGACAGTGATTTTACGAGTGGAAGGAAAACTGGGTTTGTTGAACAGAGAACGTTTTGGAACGTTTTCAGAAGCTTCGACAGGCTATGGGTGATGATGTTTCTTTCCCTTCACTTAATGTTTATCTTGGCCAGGGAGGAGAAGAAGCTTCCATGGCAGGCTTTGAATAACAAAGATGTTAAGGTCAGAGTTCTATCATTGTTTATCACATGGAGCGGAATGAGGTTTCTCCATGCTTTACTTGTAGTAGCCATGGAGTTTAGTCGTCTTTCGAGAGAGATGCTGGGACACGTCCTAATGATGGTACTAAAGATTTTGGTTGCTGCAACATGGATTTGCGCCTTTGTGTTTTGTTATGCGAGGATCTGGGTGCAAAGGGACCACGACAGACATTGGTCTGATGAAGCTAACAAAAGGGTAACTTATTTTCTAAGGCTTGCATTTCTTTATGGGTTACCGGAACTGGTAAATTTGGTACTGTTTTTCCTCCCCTGTATTAGGCTGAATTGTAAGGTATTTTACCCGGTATCATGGTGGTTCCATGGTGATTGTTTTATTGGTCAAGGATTGCGGGAGGGGATAGTTGATAGTATCAAGTATATTCTATTCTGGGTTGTGGTGTTAGGTACCAAATTTACATTTAGTTACTTCTTTCAGATTGAACCCATGATTAGCACCACAAAACAATTGTTTGATTCAACAAATGAAGAATATGAATGGGGTGGAAATGCCATCTTTAGTGTCAGCAACAAGTTCGTCATCGGATTATTGTGGTTACCTGTGCTGTTGATTTACATGGCTGATACTCAGATTTGGTACTCTATCTATTCTCCCATTGTGGGGGCTGCAATGGGGTTGCTGCAACAGCTCGGTGAGATCCGAAACATCGAGCAACTTAGCTTGAGGTTCCGGTTCGTCGCCAGTGTCATTCAACTCAACCTGATGCCACAAGAAGATACAAAGATTAGTTGTCAAACTTTAAGGGAAAAGTTCAGTGAAGTCATTCATCGGCTGAAGTTGAGATGTGGGCTCAGCAAGCCTTTCAAACTGGTTGAACTCGAATCGAACCAGGTTAAGGCTAACAAGTTTGCTCTGATATGGAATGAAATAATTACTACTTTTAGGGAAGAAGATATCATATCTGACCATGAGGTTGTGCTATTACAGTTGTCCCGACATTCTTGGGACATCAGGGTTATTCGTTGGCCTTGTTTTCTTTTGAAGAATGAACTGCTACGTGCTCTTGATCTGGTTGTAGACTTAATGGATGCTCCCGATAAGTGGCTCTGGTATAAAATATGCAAGAGCGAGTATAGGCGATGTGCTGTGATCGAAACATATGATTCTGTCAAGTACTTGATGCTTCATGTACTAATCAAAAGCAATACCGACGAGCATTCAATTCTCAAAGTTATATTTCAGGAAATCAATCAGTCTATTGAGATCGGGAAGTTCACTGCAACATTTAGAGCGGATGCACTGCAACAAGTTCATTCCCAGTTGATAAAACTCGTTGAGCTGTTGCTTGAGCCCAACATGAACGTGAATGGGATTGTTAATGTCATGCAGGCACTTTATGAAATTGTTGTTCGTCACCTTTTTAAAGCAAAGAGAACTACATACCAGTTGAGGGAGGATGGGTTGGCTCCTAAAAGTCAAACTGCCATGGCTGGAACGCTATTTGAGAACACAGTTGAATTGCTGGATCATGGTAATAAGAACTTCTATATGCAAGTTAAGCGCTTGCATACTATTCTTACCACTAGGGACCCAATGCAGACCATTCCTGGTAATAATGAGGCAAAACGTCGACTTGCTTTCTTTAGCAACTCCCTTTTTATGAAAATGCCTCGAGCTCCTCCAGTGGAGAAGATGATTGCTTTCAGTGTCCTTACCCCTTTCAACGACGAAGATGTTTTATACAGCAAAGAAGCACTCCAAACTAAGAACGAAGATGGGATTTCCATCTTGTATTATTTGCAGACCATTTACGATGATGAGTGGAAAAAATTCATCCAAAGAATGCGCCGAGAGGGAATGGAAACAGCTGATGAAATATGGACAACCAAATTAAGAGATTTAAGGCTTTGGGCATCTTATAGGGGTCAGACACTTTCACGCACTGTCAGGGGAATGATGTACTATTATCGAGCTCTAAAGCTTCTAGCTTTCCTCGATTCTTCAGCGGAGACGGATACTACCGTAGCAGAAGAGGAAGGTATTGCTTTGATGAAGTATACATATGTAGTTTCCTGTCAGAAGTATTGGGAACATAAGGCCAAACGGGACCCTCGTGCTGAGGAGATCATGGATCTTTTAAAACACAATGAAGCCCTTCGAGTTTCCTATATTGATCAGGTTTCAACAGGGATTGACGAGAAGGAATATTACTCCATTCTCATTAAGTATGACCAGCAATTACAAAGGGAATTGGAGATCTATCGAATCAAATTACCCGGTCCAATAAGGCTTGGAGAAGGCAAACCAGAGAATCAGAACCATGGATTTGTCTTCACTCGTGGTGATGCAGTTCAAACCATTGATATGAACCAAGACAACTATTTTGAGGAAGCACTAAAAATCCGTAACCTGTTGGAAGAATTCAGGCACCACCACGGAATTCGTAGACCAACTATCTTGGGAGTTAGAGAACATATTTTCACTGGCTCCGTTTCATCAGTTGCTTGGTTTATGTCAGCTCAGGAAACAAGCTTTGTTACATTACTTCAGCGTCTCTTTGCGAATCCACTGAAAATCCGAATGCATTATGGCCACCCCGATGTCTTTGACAGGCTTTGGTTCTTGACTCGTGGCGGCCTTAGTAAAGCGTCCAAAGTGATTAATATCAGTGAGGACATTTTTGCTGGCTTTAACTGTACTTTGCGAGGGGGCAGTGTCACACACCATGAATACATTCAGGTCGGAAAAGGACGAGACCTTGGGTTGAATCAAATATCAACGTTTGAAACCAAGATAGCTTGTGGAAACGGTGAACAAATCCTCAGCAGAGATGTTTACAGGTTGAGTCAAAGACTTGATTTTTTCAGGATGCTATCATTTTTTTACACAACTATTGGATATTTCTTTAACACAACAGTGATCATCCTTTCCGTGTATGTATTTTTATGGGGTCAACTTTATCTGGCTCTCAGTGGTGTCGAGAATTCCGTTCTAGGGAACGGCAACAACTGCAAGAAAGCACTCAGTGCTGTTATCAATCAAGAACTCATCATTCAGTTCGGAGTGTTTACTACCCTTCCAGCACTACTTGAGAGCTCCATTGAGATTGGTTTCCTTGAAGCCATTTGGGAATTCTTGGTTATGCAGCTCCAGCTTTCAACTGTTTTCTATACATTCTCGACAGGAACACGTGCTCATTTCTTCGGTAGGACCATCATTCATGGGGGTGCAAAGTATAGGCAGACTGGGCGTAACTTCGTTGTGCAACACACAAGTTTTGCAGAAAATTACAGACTCTACGCACACAGCCATTTCATAAAGGCCATCGAGTTCGGATTGATTCTTGCAGTTTATGCCATGTATACCCCATCAGCCAAGTTAACGTTCTTTTACATAGACATGGCAGTCACATGTTGGCTCCTAGTACTCTCCTGGATATTTTCTCCCTTCCTATTCAATCCTTCTGGTTTTGATTGGCTAAAGACAGTGAACGACTTCGAAGATTTCATGAATTGGATTTGGTACCGTGGTGGTGTATTTGCAAAGGCTGAACAGAGCTGGGAAAGGTGGTGGTACGAGGAGCAGCACCATTTACTAACAACCAGCCTTTGGGGAAAGCTACTGGAAATCGTTTTAAACCTTCGTTTCTTCTTTTTCCAGTATGGAATTGTATACCATCTGCGAATTGCAGACCAAAGTAGGAGCATTTCCGTTTACTTGTTGTCTTGGATCTTCATTTTCGTGGCATTCGGAATTTATCTAACAATATCGTATGTTCAGGACAAATACAGGACAAAAGAGCATATATATTATGTTCGGATGGCTGATTACCTGTTGATGATACTTGGGATACTTGTTATTATTCTTCTGAGAGCTTTTACAGCCTTCAAATATGTTGATATCTTCACCAGTCTGTTGGCTTTCATTCCCACTGGTTGGGGACTGATATCGATCGCTCAGGTATTTCGACCCCTTCTTCGTCATACCAGAGTCTGGGATTCCGTGGTCTCCGTGGCTCGATTGTATGATATACTATTTGGAGTTATTGTCATGGCTCCTGTGGCAGTTTTATCATGGATGCCTGGATTCCAATTAATGCAAACAAGGATTCTCTTCAATGATGCATTCAGCAAAGGCCTGCAAATGTTCAAGATTATTACTGAAAAAGTACATCAAAAAGATGTCTAAGCTCCTCTTACTATTGTAGATATCATTTTCTTACATTAATCAATGCCTGTTTTTACATGTAATTTCCCATAAATATTTTCATATTTTCTATGGTTGATCTAATTTTCCCAAAAAAATTTAAAGATAGTATATATAAGTATAAAGATGGTATAATGCATTCTCATATTTTATTCACTAATATTATGTATATATAAGTATAAAGATAGTATAATGCATTCTGGTTGGCTTAAACCAACCTGCAGAATCATCAAAATAAATGTTGATGGAGCTTTTATGCCGGAGATGATGGCTGCAGGCTGCAGCAATAGGTATAGTTACTCGGTATCATACTGGTTTCGTGGTTGCTGCGCACTCCATTCCCATGGTATCTATGTGTGATTCGATCTTGGTTGAAGCTCGTGCCATCACACACTGTATTCGCCTTGCTCTTGAATTGAATTGTACCCGTGCGATAATTCAAAGTGATGCTCGTTATATCGTCACCCAGTTATTGTCGACAGCCATAGACTTATCTGTTGTTCGGTTCCACTTAGATGAAGCTCGTCGTTTGCTCCAAGCCTGCCCTCATCTTACAGTACGTGTAATCCGACGATCTGTGAACACCGCAGTTCACACATGGCGACATAGGCTCTTACTCTTAGGTCGCCTTCGTTCTTTTACTATGATTTTCCAGTTAGTATTTCAAATATATTATATTTAATTTCCTTAAAAATGAGTTAATTGTATAACATGTCTACCTGCTCAAGGTGCAATCGTTTGGAGAAGAGGAAGAAAAGTAACGAGAATGTTAAGAATGTATAGGTGTTGTCTAACTGCTCTAGTTGTTGGAGTGGTTAAAGTCTGCTAAAGTTGTTAAAACATACAGTTCGGGTGCGTTTGGTTCAAGGAATGTAAGATTACCAGTGGAAATGTAAGATTACAGGGAATAGTATTACTGGGAATGTTGTATTTTGTGTTTGGTTGGTTTAGCAGGAATGTAAGATTATTGGAATGTATATTTGATCAAATTGTCCTTATTATATATTTGTTTTTTTAACAAGTTGGAAAATATTTATATATTTTTTTTAAAAATTTAAATTTAAAAAATTTATATAATTTTGTTTATAAAATTGAAAATATTAAAAGGTTTAATGAAATAGTAAAATTTTATTTTAACTCCTGAATTTCATATAAAATTTTAATTATAGATTTTTTTTTAAATATAAAATAGTTTAATGATAAATTTGTAATTTAACCTTCGTAGAATTTTTATTATTAAATGACAGAAGAATAATATTTTTGAAGAAAAAAAATTTAAGGGTATTTTAGTTCAAAACGCCGGTAATCCAACAATACCTAAGGAAATTGAGGTAATGATATTTCCGGTAATATACTCCAAAAAATCTACTATTGGTAATCTTACATTACCAAGAATGAGATTCTCGACTAACCAAAAGGGAGAATGTGGATTTCATTCCCATGAAATCTCATATTCCCATCCATACGCCCCTTAAAGTGTGTTTAGTCCCCGTTTGGTTGGCCGGGAATGTCATTCCCGGTAATCTTACATTACCAATAGTGGATTTTTTTGGGTATATTACCTGGACTGTCATTACCCCTTTCCTTAGGTATTGTTGAATTACCAGTATTTTGGACTAAAATACCTTTAAAAAAATTTTCTTTCAAAAATATTTTTATTCTGTCATTAAATAATAAAAATTATACGAAGATTAAATTATAAATTTATCTTTAAACTATTTTAGATTTACAAAAAAAAATCTATAATTAAAATATTATATGAAGTTCAGGGATTAAAATAAAATTTTACCATTTCATTAAATCTTTTTATATTTTTAATTTTATAAAAAAAAATTATATAAATTTTATAAATTTAATTTTTTAAAGAAAATATATAAATATTTTACAATTTGTTAAAAAAATAAATATATAATAAGGATAATTTAGTCAAATATACATTCTAATAATTTTTTATTTATTTAACCAAACACAATAATCTTACATTCCTGCTAAACCTACCAAACACAAAATATAACATTATCAGTAATCATATTTCCTGATAATATTTTATTCTCATTGATAATCTCATATTCCGTGAACTAAAAGCAGTATATTTTCTTTGTAAGCATGTACTTGTGTAGCAAAAAATGAATGAAGAAAGATACAGTTTTTCCTTATTATTGTTCTTAGTTTTACTGGTTTTCCATTACGTATCAAGGACTCAGATTGTCTTATCAAGTTCCTCTCAAGCAAGGACTCCGATTTTCTCATCAGGTTCCTCTCAAGTGAGCTTATGTGATCGGAGAGTTCTTTCCATATTCCCGTCATTAGAGATGTTTGAAGCTGGAACTCGTCGAAAGTTTGATGAGTTAACTCTGTCAACTCGCTCGGATTGGGGATCGACCCCATGGTGAACTTCTTTCTGTTTTCGTTGAACTCGTCCGGTGACTTAGTCGCTGAGACCAAAGGAAAGGTGAAAGAAGAAATCAGAAACCCTATAAATGGAGGAACAAAGAAAGGTAAAAGCCTAAGCAGATGATAACGTGGATCTTTGAGAATAGAACACGTGTAGTGGCCACTGGAAATTGAAATAATGGTTAAATTCTTGTCTCTAGCTTGCACCTCCAGTGTACAAGATAACAAGTGCGCACTGAGTTTGATTGTTATGTTTTCCTAAAGCATGCTTTTAAATTGCTAAAACTATCTGAAATTTATTTAATTTGCCCAGTGATTTTTTTCAAAATGTTTAATTAAGTTAATGATTAAAGATTAAAATATTTTAATTAATTTAATTTTAAACAAAATAGTTCAATTATTAATTGAATTAACTGTTTGAATATCTCTAAATAAGATAAAATATTTTTAAATATTAGATTTAATTACCTTTTAAGTCTTAACTTTGAACCTAAACAAATTAAATTTTTGGCCCTTCTCATTTTTGTGGATTCAGTTGTTTTATAAGTCTCTAAATTTTAATATCAAGAAAATTAATTCTAACCCCCTACTTTCTTAGTACAATTGCTTTATAAGTTTAGTTTTTAAATTAAATAAAATTAAACATTAATCTATCATTTGTTTGGTTTAAATATTTTTAAAGCCTTTTCACTTTCAAAATTAAATAAATTAGATTCTAAATCCTGCCTTCTTAATTTTAACTTAATGATGTAACAATCAAATTTTAGCCATCATTTTGTTACTATTTATATTTATCCCCAAAAAGTATAGCTTATATCTTAATTCAGTTCCTGCATGTCAATACAAATATCGATTTAAGAATTTTTAAGTTTAAATAGTAATTATACAACCTATTATTTATATGAAAGTACTACTACTAAATATAATTCATTCTAATATTTTAAGACGACAGAAACAATTATTCTGAACTTTCAATGGGGTAATTACATAATACAACCAAAAAGGTAAAGGATTTCATTGGGACTGGGGGACGCTGCCCTCGATGTAAATCCGATTCTTGATCACACACATTATGTTCCTCGCGAAAACCCGATACATCTTCGAGACAATCCATTTTTGAGTTAGTTTCCATCTCAGGGGAAGCCGGCTTTGCTAATTTGTCCCAGGACTCATCGTCTTCAAGTGTAGTTTCCTTGATCCACACACATGCTTCGAGTTCATCGGAAATGCTACGTTAACAACATGATGAACATCATCACTCATCGTATCACTCCCTTTTAGAGGATTGACTGTTATGTTCATCAGGAGAAGTCTGATACCTTTTTCATTTCCATCTCTGTAGTCTCTTTAACTGCAAGCTTAGTTTTGACATCAACATTGTTGCCTGCGTCAACAGCTTCCATATCACACTCTTCACGGGATAGGATATTTTCCTCGATAGCAGAGTCTGATGTTGTTTTATTTCCCTGGTCTACTGCATTATAGTCCATAGAGGTAGTGACGTTTGCACTGTTCGAAGCAGATTCGGTTGCGTTATTCCCTGACCGTGAATCAGTCCTATCATCGGATTGTCAATCTTCAGCAGGATAATCCAGTCCTGCCTTATTCTGCACCTCATGCGCGTCATGGCTTGGGCTAGGGTTAGCATCATATTTAATACCCGCCCTAGATACATTCATCGTGTCCCCTGTTTGATAATTCGCAAGTGTAGTTTCGTCATTAGGTTCCAGGGATGCATCTGAGGAACCTCTGGTTCCACAAGTATCATTTACAGATACATTTGGACATTGGGAATCTGAATCTGTAACTCTAGTTTCACCATTTATCCGACCAGAATGATTCAAATCACCATCCGTTTCATTCCCAGATGAAGAACCAGGTTTAGATCCGTTAGCCACCTCAGCTGTGATTTGCTCATTTGTTATTGGCTCAGTTTGCTTAGCACCTACAGGGACAGATTTTGAGAAGGTTAAGAACAGCAAATAAAACACAATGGAAAACAATTGGAAACAATTGGAAACAATTGCACCAATTAAAACCTGTGTCAGACGTCGTGTTTTCGAGCTTCGGCAGAAACTTCTGCAGCATATCTATACCCAGGAAGACCAACATATTCATGGACCTCATTTCTTGCTTAACCGACTCCTTTAGAGCAGTGAAACCAAAAACCCCAGTCCATGTAGGCGTAACTTCAGCAATTGCAGGGATGACTAGTTTGTGAACCTTCAGAGAACAGAGAACCTTCAGCAAAACAAAAGAAAGAACAAAATCAGTGATGCAAGGAACAATCGAGTTATGCGTAAGGCTAACAAGATATACACACACTAACATAAATATATATATATACAATCCTTCCTCACAGCTTACCGACTCAATAGCACAGAAAAGCCGTCGGAACATTCCCTGATGCCTGTATGTGTGGCGTGTGCCAATGAATGGCATCTCTGCTAGTTGAATTCCATGGAACCTACATATGGCAATAAGATATCAAATTAGTTAGCATTTATTTAAATGATAGATAATCCAGATGAGTGCACCAAATCCACCCAACCAGTAATATCTACTCGAAGAAGTCAGGTCAGCATGTTTTGTTAGGTGATTCTGGTCTTCACTATATTTGTCCGACATAATTATTGATCCAACCAAAGATAACTAACTGCAAGAGGGGGAAAAGGAAACAGCATATCGATGCCTAAATGTTATTTACCTGATTGATGCTGCAGAAATTATTTCATCGCCTCTCTCCAAAATAGCCGTGTAAAAGCCACTATAATTCAGCCGGTTGAAGTTTGATCTTTAAAGAAAAAAACAGCAAATTGCAACCAGTTAAGATATTTGATTTTCAAAAGAAAATATTACGCCACAGTAACTACAACAAAGTATAATCCAGGAAAGGAATAGACAACAGAAGAATCACCAAGCAGAAAATGAGAAAGGATAAAAAGATTAGCCCAAATCATAACGAAGCAAGAGTTAAATGTAATTATAAACCATTGAACAAAATATATCAACACCACTAAATATGAAATTTATCCCTCGGATCCTTTAGAAAACTGTTATAAGATATATATATATAAATGCATCACTATCGAACAGTTCTCTGAAAGCATATCATAATCTGAAAAGAAAGGTAATAAAAATATATATCAAACATAGTCTAAATAAACATAGTGGGAAAAAATCAAAGACCTCAGGATAAAGTAAACAAAAATCCATTTCACAAATTAGAACGAGAGTAACAATTAACATCAAGAAACGAAAAGAAAAAAAAAAGAGTGACCTGCTAGACAAGGACTACTATGAAGAAACTAATAAAACCAACGTCCTTTAAAACTCAGCAACCAAATGCTTACCCACAATTATAAACGACATTATTTACCAAGTTGATCCCACTCCTCCTGTCAACAATGGGCAAAAAGCATTCATCCATCACAGAGAGAGCAACAGCTAGTTTAGAATTGCATTCCACTCTTTGTGGAAGCCCTCTGGCAAATATATCTGAATCTGCATCTGTTCTTCGAATAAGAGACCATGAAAATCCTCCTCCTACTTCATGTTTGACCCCTAGATACTTCTGTAAATGTTCAAAGAGCTGTAGAAACAACAAAGATATTTCTTAATGTTTCACATATCAAATGGCATAATCAACAATCAAGCAGAAAACCCATATGCAAACGGCAAACCTTCATGAACTATTTATGTTTAACAACATCATGGTTAAATAGTGGACACCACATACAAATAAAGTTCCATTGCCAATAGGATTCATAGTAATATTTTAGTTAGCCACAACGATAGCAACAAATGCCAATACCATCATGTCATGAATAAACCAAAGTTTCTTTCTGAGAAACACCATTGCCTTTTCAACATTTTGATGAAAAATAGGTTTAACATCTCTCAGAGATGGTATACAAAGGGCATGATTGCTTCTATAGTAGATAGATTTTCCCCCATTTTCTTGGTTTACATCAAGTCACAATATTCAGCATTCCAACAAAAGAAAAAATATATCTTACCCCTCTGCATGTTATCCCACAAAAAGGAAGAACTAAACCGTTGGAATCAATATGAATCTCATCTGTCACTTTGGTGCATGATTCATGGTCTGTAAACGTAAAAGGATCAGAATATTTCTAAAAAAAATCAAGACGAGGAAACTACATGGCAACTTCAAACTTCAAAGAATTAAGAACACCAAAAAGAAGAGAATGCGTACATCTTTTCTCGCATAGGTTGCAAGTGAGAAGGACACAATCAGTTACATCATCCTCTTGAGCAATGCCGCTGCCGTTACCACAAAATTTGCATATACAATTTGGACAGTGCCAATCACCAGCTGGTAGAAACTGTAAAAGTGTATATAAGAAAGCTAAGTGAAGCCATTAAGCAGCATGGTTAACAAATTCAAAATATATATTTTTCAGATAGTAACTACTCTAACCAGAGTAAACTTCATCTTTTGGAAGGCAATTAAAAGCCAATGGTTTCAGGTCATCAAAACATAAGACAAAGCAATTAATATATCTAACAGTCATAGTTGAAAATTTCTTGATGGAGGCCGCATTAAGCCACTGAAAAACCATTTCTAACATTAAAATCCAAAACACTGCTGATATTAACTCAGAGGGCAGGTTCTAAGAACAGTCAACAAGGAGAAAACATTCGGGGAAAGTAATGTCTTCTAAAAGTTATAGAAAGGAAAGTGGCATAAGCCTTCACTTGTCACGCAAATTACATGTCCAACTGCTAATTAGAGGACTCTTCAAGATTGCTCTTAAATTTGATTTGGCTCTAAACAAATTTAGGGATCCCAATCCATAAATCAATCCAGAGGTCTACAAGGAAAACTTACAGGAAAAGAAGAAAATAAGAGAGACTCACAGCCATTTATAAATGTAAAAATTACGCAGAAGTACCTCTATATTTAGGCAACTCTGATGAAATGTTGAGGGGCAACTGTCACAACAAATCAGATCCCCCCCATCTCCACAAATGCCACAGGTGTCATCATTCGGGTCATCACCATTTACATCTACAGAATGAAAACCAATCTGCTCAGACTCAACTTGTCTGTTCCATGCATCTATTTCGCACTGAAGGAGAGAAACACCAGTATCCAAATATATATTCTGAAATGGCTGTCGCAATTTGCTTCCAGCATGAATCTCAAATTTGGAAACTGTAAGGATTTTACTACAACAACCACAGTGAATTCCATCCCCTGTGATCCAACCCTCTAGCATCACTTTTGTTCGCCTACGGTTCATATACTGCACCTTTTGGCTCAACTGCACAACCTCAGAATCAATCAGCCACGCAAGCAGTGTTCTTTTCCCATAATATGGAACAAAGTCATCACCCTCTGAACTCGCACCCACATTAGAGCCACGAACCAACAAGGTGCATCTGCCAAGTTTTCTACTTTTTCTTCCATGAATATGACGAGAATTGGATATAGAGGATGGTTTTTCATAGCTATCATGCACCTGGAGAGACTTTTGACCTTTTGCATATCCACTGAAGGCATGGTTATCATTCATCCTATGTTTCATTGACTTACCCTTCATGAAGGAACTTAGTTTCTCTTCATGACTCAAGCCATCCATACTCTCATCTTCATGCCTGGTACTTGAAGATTTCCTACTGACAGGTTCTTGAGCATCCTCACTGCCACTTTCATCTTTTCGGTTTTTTTTCGTCTTCTTTCCTGTTTTCCTTGTTAATTGGCTGAGTACTTCATTTGATAATGGAGTAAATGCAGGACCATCGCCAGATGGTTTGCGCACATTGTCCTTGTCTAGCTGCTTTTGAAGTGCATCATATGCCTTGATGATGGACCAGTATGCGGTTCCAGCTGGGTTGATGTACACTGCATCCAAGTAATCCCTGTTCCTCCTTGGTCTATAATCTATTGTCCAGCCTGCTTCCTGAAGCATCTCCCGTATTCTTTCACGTAATTTCTGTTTCTCTGTGCCACATCCACGCCTATTTTTTCCTTCTTTGATTCTGGTAGGCTGAAGCTGCTCAACTTGATCTTTCTCCTCTTTGTTACTTACCTTCTTTTTCCGGTTAGAAGTTTCTTTATCCTTTCGTCGTAGCTTCAGAGATGTATCGCTGTCCTCTGAATTAGAGTCAGAGATCATATTCTTCGTAGTTGTTGGTGTCTTTAGCAGATTCATTTTCTTTTTCTCTTTCCTACCAAATGAAACAGGCTTCTCAAGAACTTCTGTATCAGAGTACACTGATGAACAGGCATGCATGTTTCTCCGAACTCTATCATCAATCCTTGAACCACTCCGGCCTTCCTCAACTTCCAAGTGATCACAATTTTTCAAAGGCTCACCAACCTTTTTTTTCTTGTTCACCATTACCTTCAAAACACCATTTTTGCCCTGAACCCTGATGGGTTCATCTGAATCAGCCATATACCTCTCCCTCAACAACGGATAATGCATCAGAGTGCCATCCCTATCCTTCCTAAACATGTTTCTATCATCATGATCTCCCCGACTCATCCCTTCAGTTTTATCTAAGTACAAATTCTTCTTCTTCTTCTTCTTCTCAGGAAAAGCATATCTTCTAGGACCACTCTCATATTCTCTCTCAATACTCATCCGACCAACTGCAGGCATCGAACCAGACAGTCTCCTCCTGCCAACCTCTTCCCCACCATAACCAAATCTGCTCCTTCTCATAATCATATCCTCTTCAAGTCCATCGTACTCATCAAAGTCAAACACCTCTAACCTACTTTTCTTACTCTCACTTAAATCCTCCCCGTTCCAACCAAATAAGCCTTTGTCAGTTGGCCTCACTCTCTCCTCCCTATTCCTCTTCCTACCTATTTCACTCTCTTCATAAGCAGCTAAACCATTACAAACTTGAATTGTTTCCGGCCCAGCACGCCTTCGAGGTGGCATAACTAGCTCATCGCTAGAACCCGAATCACTCATACTCATCCTAGACCTCCTCTTGTATGTTTTAGGCTCGTAAATGGACCCGGCTCCACCCGAACCATCCCCTTTCTTCCTCACAATCAAACACCCCGAATGGCTCCTATTCTTCACCGCACCCGAATGCTCACCAGATCTCAGTCGCTCTTCCATCGAAACCAAACCGAAAAAAGATAAACTTAAATTCCTATTATTTTCCTCAAATAATCACAAATTCAAAACAAAATCCGTTAAAAACAGAAGAATAAAACCTAAATCTCTCTGATCAACCAGATCTGTAGTGACAAACTCGCAGAATAAAAAAAGATAGTGAAAAAACAGACTGAATTAATATATTCTTTTCTAAAAAATTGTTTAAATGATTCAAACGAGATAATGTCTTGGATGAAAAGTGATAACTCGCTGTAGACAAAATACGGTTACCTTTCCCGGCAATTCGCCGGCGATAACTGACGCAATTCTCCGACGAAGAAAACGAGAGGAAAAAAGTGGAGGAAGAATCCAAGGGGGAGAGAGACGGAGGGAAACATATATATGCTTCGGCTTTGGATTATATAAAATTAAAAGAAATAACAAAGGAAAACAAATCCCAAAGCTGCTGTGAAATTGGTTATATTTAATTAAATTATGATTAACACTACTACTATTTATTTGTCTTTATTTTTTATAGTTTAATATAAAAATATCTAAATTATACTGTTTTTTAAGTATTGTGTAAAAATTTTTTGATTAATCAAGATTTTTAATGTTACAAAAATTATTATTTTTGGTGTCTAGCCTATAATGATAATTAAAAAGTTCTATTAAAAGATACATGTCACATTTAAATAATTTTAAAGAATTTTTTTTTTAAATCTCTAATTTCTTTAAAATTACAAAAAATACCTCTAATCTACCATAAGCAGTGCCCCTCCTCCCTGTCGTTCTGCAAACGCCCCTCCTAGCAGCATTCAATTTTGAAAACTCCACTCTCTCAAAAAAAAAAAAAAAAAACTTGAAAACTCCATTCTTGTGTGAACACCACCCGAAATTAAATCCTAAATTGAATATCCCCATCCAACTGTGAACACAACCACCTGAGTTCCCAAACTGAATGCCCCTCGCGTTGCTATTCAAGTAAAATTGAGATTAAAATTAGGATTAGGGATTTAGGGTTTTAGGTATTTAAGGGTAGACGATGATAGGTGGATGAATGTCAACCGACAGCAACTGTAACCATTGGTTCGTCAGGTTAGAATCGACGTAAAAACGATAAGTGCATCAAATAATATGGGTTTAGGGATTGAAATTAATTTTTTAATGTTTGGATATTTTTAGATTTAAGATAACTTTAGGATTTTTTTTCAAAAATTATATATTTTAATTTTTTAAATAAAAATTTAAAAATTCTATAAATGTGACTCGTGTCGGATATCATAATTTTTCAACAGATGTTACAGATTAGACATAAAAAATGATAATGTTTATAATATTAAACATATGAATTTAAGAAAAGTTTAATTTAGTCCGCAATTAGATTTTTTTACTCAAATTAGTTTTAAAAATTGATGATTTTTAAATTTATATTTAATTTTCAAATAACGAAACACGCTCCAAAAAGTAGCGAGTGAAATTCTTTTTAGACCAATCTGAAATATTTTGTCTAATTCAAGGACTAAATGTTTTTTATCCCTTTCGTTTTGGTTGTTTAATAGAAGAGTCGGGGGCCTCGGGGCAGTATGGTACGTCGCCGTTTGTTCACAAATCAGATAGGGCCCACGATTTCCGTCTGCTTACGTACAATTCGTGTTATTCATTTTTACTGTTTGACAGAACCTTTATTGTTATTATAGTTGTTTTCAATACTTTTTTTCAGATTAATCAAATTATTATTTATATATGGTTTTGTTAATAAAAAAATATGGTTTTGTTATTTTTTTTTAAAAAAAGTTTATACATTTTTAAAATATTGATTAAAGAGATATATAAAGAAATATGTTTAATATATTTTTATTTTATTATAAATTAATTATATAAAATCTCAAATAAAATGAATGTTGATAATTCCTGTACTTTTATAATTTGGGTTGGAAAAAACCATAAATTTAAACTCGAGTTGAAGAAAAAATAATAATTTTGTATAAATTGGAAATCAATTTAGAATAAGAGTCATAATTTAATGATACAATTAAAATATTCAAAAGTTTGTGGGTATATTTCAAATGAGTCATAAATTAAAAATAAAATTAAAACATTCAATTGTTTTTAAATTAATTTAGAATGATGGTCATACGATCAAATTAACTCAAAAGGTTAATTTTTTTCTAAACACTTACGATAATTACATCATACAATCAAAAGTTAAGGATTTCAGTGATTTGACTTCGACTCTTGATCATTCATACATACTATGGTCCTTGGAATAAACCCGAATGATCTTTGTGAAGATCCGATATTGATTAATTTTCCATCTCTATTGCGCTGGGATTTCTCGGGGGAAGCCGGCTTTGCTAATCCGTCCCGGAATCAGAATCCACGTGTTTGTTCTCTCTAATCAAGACTCAAAATTCGAAGTTCATCGGACACAGCTGCATTGTCTACTCGATGAACATAAGTACTCGTAGTGCTTCCTTTAGAAGATTGACTGTTATGTTCATCAGGAGAATCTAATACTGTATTCTTCATTTAGAAGGTTGACTGGTATGTTCCGCAGTGTCTTCAACTGTGAGCTTAGTTTTAAAATTAGAAGCAGCACCGATATTGTTATCTTCTTTGACAGCTTCCGGATCACCATCTTCTCGGAATCGAGTACTTCTATTGATGGCAGAGTCTGATATTGCTGTCTTTCCGTCATTATAGTCCGTAGAGGTAGTGGTATTTTCACTGTCAGAAGCAGATCCGGTTGCCTTGTCCCCTGACCGTGAATCGGTCCCATCGTCAGACTGATTATCTTCAGCGGGATAATCCAATCCTGCCTTAATCTGCATCTCAAGTGCATCGTGGCGAGAGCTAGGGTTTGCATCATACTTACTATCCAGCCCTAATACATTCCTCGAGTCTGCTGCTTGATAGTTGGCGAGTGTAGTTTCGTCATTAGGTTTCGGGGATTTATCCGAAGAATCACTGTTTCCACAAGTATCATTTACAGAAACATTTGGACATTGGGAATCTGAATCAGCAGCTGCAGTTTCACCATTTATTCGACTAGAATGATGAAAAACACCATCATCGTACTCTTGAGTATCAATCCCAGATGAAGAATCGGGTTCAGATCCGCTAGCTACCCGGGGTGTGATATTGCCATTAGATCTTGGTGCAGCACCTACAGGAGCAAATTTTGTGAAGTTAAGAACAGTAAATAAACATAATGAAAATATGGCAACAATTGTATTAACTAAAACCTGCATCAGTCATCAAGTTCGCTTGCGTGTTTTCTAGCTTCAGCAGAACCTTCTGCAGCATCGGTATACACGGGAAGACCAGCATATTCATGGACCTCATTTCTTGCCTAACTGATTCCTCTAGAGCAGTGAAACCAAAAACTGCAGTCCATGTATGCGTAAGTTCAGGAATTGCAGGGATGACTAGTTTGTGAACCTTGACAGAACAAAGAACCTTAAGAGAAAAAAAGAATAAACTGCAGAATTGGTAAACAGTTATTTGAATGATAGATAAACCAGATGCATTCATCAAATTCACCGTTTAGTGATTCTTGATCTTCACTATGTTTGGCAATTTTATAAATCCAACCGAAGATAAATAACACTGAGGAAAGGTGAAGCATACAGATGCCAGAACGTTAATTACCTGATTGATGCTGCAGAAATTATTTCATCGCCTCTCTCCAGAATAGCAGTGTAGAATCCAGAATAGTTCAGTCGGTTGAAGTTTGATCTTTAAAGATAAAAAGTAGAAAAATTACAAACAGTTGAATAAAATAATATCAAACACTGCTTAAATAAGAAATTTATCCCTCAGAACCTTTAGAAAACTGTTATATAATATATAGAACTAATGCATACAATCAATATCCGACAGTTCTCTGAAAGCAAAACCATAAGCTGACCAGAAATGTAATTAAAAAAAATCATAATGTGAATACAGAAACATTCTGTTCAACCAAACCCAGAAATACCTCTTCATACTAAATATCAAAGATCAAAGGATGAAATAAACAAAAATCCATTTCACAAATTAGAACAAGACTAATGATTAACATCGAGATTTGAGAGACAGAAAAATTGTGCGATCAGCTAAACAAGCACTACTATGGAGAAACTAAAAGACAAACATCCTTCAAAATTCAGCAAACGAAATGCTTACCCACAGTTATAAAGGACGTTATTTACCAAGTTGATCCCACTTCTCCTGTCAAGGATTGGCAAAAAGCATTCATTCAGCACAGTCATTGCAACAGCTAGTTTAGAATTGCATTCCACCCTTCGTGAAAGCCCTCCGGCAAATATATCTGAATCTGCATCTGTTCTTTGAATAAGAGACCATGAAAATCCTCCTTCTAGTTCATGTTTGACCCCTAGATACTTCTGTAAATGCTCAAAGAGCTGTAGAAACAACAAAAATATTTCTTAACGTGTGCCTTCACATGTTTAAACATAGTGCCTTCAAAGACAAGCTGTGAACCAGAACAAAAATGCATAGAAACAAGCAGAAAGAACACCGATTTTTATTCGGGGAAAATAAAAATTGAGAAACTAGGACGGCACAATCTGTTATAGCATCCTCTTGAACAATGCCGCTGCAATTACCACAAAATTTGCATATACAATATGGACATTGCCATTCACCCTCTGGTAGAAACTGCAAAAGTGTATATAAAAGCTAAGTGAAGCCACTAAGCAGCATTGCTAACAAGAACAATCCAAGTTTGTGTTTGACCACTAAGCAGTATAAGTCAACAAGTAGAAAAGGCCAAAAAAGCAAACTTTCAACCAGGAGTACAAATTCAAAACATTTTGTTTTTCTAAAATAGTAATACTGTAAGGAGGATAAACTATTTTCACCTCATCTTTTGGAAGGCAATTAAAAACCAATGGCTTTCTGGTCATCAAAACATAAGACAGAAAAAAATTAATATATCTAACAGTCAATGTTGATTTTTATTTTTAATGGAGCAGCATTACGCCACTGATAAACATGTCTTGCATTAAATCCAGAACATTGCTGATACCAACTCAGGGAGCAGGTCCTAAGAACAGTCGGCTAGGAGAAAACATTCAAAAAGGGGTATGTCTTCTAATATTTGCAGAAAAGAAAGAGACCCATGCATTCACATGTAACATAAATTACATGTCCAACTGTTAGTCAAAGGACACTTCAGAATGCCCTTCAATTCAATTTGGCTCTAATAGAATTTAGGAATCCCTAAACATAAGCTCAATAGTTAAAACCTTCGAAAGAAGGTAACATTCTGCTTAGACAAAGAAATTGTATTAACTAACAACATATTTAGATTAAACTCTGGTCATTAACTCCATTCAATTAACACAACCGCTATTTCTCACAAGGAAGCAAGAAGAGAGTTTCCCTAAGGCTGTTGGGGGGGGGATTGACCTAGAAGTCTTTAAAACTTACAGGGCAAAAAAGCAAACATGAGAGACTGACCACCATTTAAAACATTATACAGCAGGTGCAAAAATTATGCAGAAGTACCTCTATATTGAGGCAGTTCTGGTGAAATGTTGAGGGACAACTGTCACAACATATCAGATCCCCACCATCTCCACAAATGCCACAAACATAGTCATTAGGGTCATCACCATTTACATCTACAGAATGAAAACCAATATCCACAGACTCTACTTGTCTGTTCCATGCATCTATTTGGCACTGAAGAAGAGAAACACCAGTATCCAAAAATATATTCTGAAATGGTTGTCGCAATTTGCTTCCAGCATGAATCTCAAATTTTGAAACCGTTAGGATTTTACTACAACAACCACAGTGGATTCCATCCCTTGTGATCCAGCCCTCTAGCATCACTTCTGTTCGCCTACGCTTCATATACAGCACCTTTTGGCTCAAGTGGACAGCCCCAGAATCAATCAGCCAGGCAAGCAGTGTTCTTTTCCCATAATATGGAACAAAGTATTCACTCTCCGAACTCGCATCCACATTAGAACCGCGGACCAACAAGGTGCATCTGCCAAGTTTTGTACTTTTTCTTCCATGAACACGATGAGAATTGGACATAGAGGGTGGTTTTTCGTAGCTATCATGCATGTGGAGAGAACTTTGGCCTTTTGCATTTCCACTGAAGGCATCATTGTCATTCATCCTAGATTTAGATGACTTACCCTTCATGAAGGAACTTTTCTCTTCATGACTCAAGCTATCCATACTCTCTTCTTCATGCCTGGTACTTGTAGATTTCCTAGCAACAGGTTCTTGAGCATTCTCACTGCCACTTTCATCTTTTTGCTTATGTTTCATCTCCCTTTTCATCTTCTTTCCTATTTTCCTTGTTAATTGGCCAAGTACTTCATCCGATAATGGGGTAAATGCAGGACCATCGCCAAAGGGTTTGCGCTCATTGTCCTCATCTAGCTGCTTTTGAAGTGCATCATATGCCTTGATGATGGACCAGTACGCAGTTCCAGCAGGGTTGATGTACACTGCATCCAAGTAATCCCTGTTCCTCCTTGGTCTATAATCTATTGTCCAACCTGCTTCCTGAAGCATCCCCCTTATTCGTTCCCGTAATTTCTGTTTTTCTGTGCCACATCCACGCCTAACCTTTCCTTCTTTGCTTCTGGTAGGCTGAAGCTGCTCAACTTGAGCTTTCTCCTCTTTGCTATTAACCCTCTTTGTTGGGTTAGAACCTTTAGTATGCTTTGGTTGCAGCTTCGGAGATGTACCGCTGTTCTCTGAATCAGAGTCAGATACCTTATTCTTCTTAGTTGTTGGTGTCATTAGAAAACTCTTATTCTTTTTCTCTTTCCTGCCAAATGAAACAGGCTTCTCAAGAACTTCTGTCTCAGAGTACAATGATGGATGAACATACAAGTTCCTCCTAATTGCATCATCAATCCTTGAACCAACCTGGCCTTCCTCAACTTCCAAGTGATCAAAATTTTTCAAAGGCTCGCCAAACTTCTTTCTCTTGTTCACCATTACCTTCAAAACACCATTTTTTCCCTGAACCCTGATGGGTTTATCTGAATCAGCCATATACCTCTCCCACAACAACTGATAATGCATTGGAGTGCCATCCCTATCCTTCCTAAACCTGTTTCTATCATCATCATCACCCTGACTCATCCCTTCACTTTGATCAAAGTACAAATTCTTCTTCTTCTTCTTCTCATTAAAAACATGCATGCTTGGACCACTACAGTATTCCCTCTCAATACTCATTCGAGTAATCGCAGGCATTGAACCCAACAATTGCCTCCCACTTACATTGTCTCCACCATAATCAAATCCGTTCCTTCTCATAATCATATCCTCATCAAATCCATCATATTCATTAACGTCAAACACATCTAACCTATTCCTCTTACTCCAACTCAAATCCTCATCATTCCAACCAATGAAACCTTCCTCACATGGCGTTATCCTCTCCTCCCTATTCCTCTTCCTTCCAATTTCACTCTCTTCATAAACAGCTAAACCATTAGAAACCTGAAACGTTTCCGGCCCAACCCTCCTTCGAGGTGGCATTACTAGCTCATCGCTAGAACCTGAATCACTCATAATCATCCTATACCTCTTTTTATCTGTTTTAGACCCATAAATCCAACGGGCCCCTGTGGACCCGGCTCCAACTGAACCATCCCCTTTCTTCCTCACGATCAAACACCACAACTGGCTCCTATTCTTCACCACAATCCCCGAATGCTCACCAAATCTCAATCGTTCATCCATCAAAACCAGACATGCAAAAAAAAACTAAATTCCTATTATTTTCTTCAAATTCATCACAAATTAAAACAAAATCCGTTAAAAAGGAAGAACAAAACCTAAATCTCTCTCTACCACCAGACCTGTGGTGAAAAATTCCCAGAAAAAAAAATAAAAGAAAAAGTGAAAAACAGACTGAATAAATACAATTTTTTATAAAAAAAAATGTCTAAAATTTTCAAACGAGATAATGTCTTGCGCGAAGAGTGATACCTCGTTATTGATCAAATGCAGTTTCATTTAACCGGCAATTAGCCGGCGATAGCTGACACAATTTCCCGGCGAAGAAAACGAGGGGAGAAAATTGGGGGGGGGGGACAGAGAAACAGAGAAATATATATACTTCGGCTTTGAATTATATGTAATTTTTTAAAAAAAATACAAATACAAATTAGATTATATATATTATTTGGTATTTTATTATGAACCAAAGCCAGCAGAGCAAAATCCAACAAGGAAAGCCAGCTCTTAAGATGAGTCATATTGAAGATACAGAGGATTTGAGCGAGAGAAGTGAGCCAATGACGTTGCAAGACTTTATAATCGTTTTAATGTAACGGCTTGGTTTATATGAAGTAAATTATAAATTTTATCACTCAATTTTTTTTTTACTTTTTTAATTTTTGAAGTTTAATTTTTTAAATTTACTTATTAAATTTTTTATTTACTCTTATTTTAATCAATTGTGTGTTAAATTATAAATACAATGATGACATAAGAATCACGTGTGTTGATTTGGATTATTTTTTATTGACATGAAATCCATGTGACATCTACACCATTTTCTTCTTTTTTTATCTTCTTCCTTCAAAGATAAAAATTTTATAATTTCATCTATGTGTTACACCGACGTTTAATTATTATTATGTGACATATTCTCTGACCATTCAAGATATTGATGAAATTGTCTTATTGTCATGTACCACTCTATTAGTTTAGATTTCACTCAAATCAATTTAAGACTCATAAAACTCAGCCATAAACTCAAAACCCATGAAATCTTAATCCAATCTAATTTATAATATACATAATTCCATCAATATGGAATCAAGATACATAGTTTGCTTCCTCTTTATCCATCTCCCCGCCATGAGGATTTATAAAAATATCTTAAATCATAGAAAAAATTAAAGAGAATTTAAAACTATGAGTTTTTTTTTCCAAAATATGAAGAAATTTCTAGGGTCATTTCATAATTTTTAAAGAAAAATGTCCAATCATAGCATTGATAAGTATTTAATAATAAAATGAAAAGAGAAAAAATTGGAGCAAATTAAAAGTTCGGTAATTGAAAATTTTTAAACTTCAAAGGCTAAAAATAGAAATAAGAAGAAAGTTAAGTGGTGCAATTTATAATTTATCCTTATAATAGAATTGCTCAAGTGACATTTTTTTCAATGACGATGTGGTATTATCTTATGACAAGTCAGTCTCACCGTTAAGTTTTTAACGGACGACCAAAATGAAACTAAAATGCAACGTTATGTATGGTTTTGAAAAAAAATAGTTAGGTGACAAAAATGGAACAAAAGTGATAGTTGAGATACTAAATATGTAGTTTACCCTTTTTTTTAAGTGTTGATGAAACTTGTTAAGGATGATGATCCATATAAGTTCAGATTACTGCAAACTAGGAAATGTATAACTCAAATCATAAGAAATTTGGGTGGTAATGATGCCTCATCAAGCCTTGGAAACATTGTTGGTCGACCAACTGTTTGATGATTTTCTACTTAAAGATTCTTCAGTCCTGACAATTTCGGTTCTTTTTCTGCCAACAACAACAACTTCACGTCCAAAAATGGAGTTACATTTGCTTGTAAAAGCCATTGCATGCCCATCCAGTAGGAATTCTGTATTCCTTACTAGATTTCATAGTTTTTTGCTCAAAGGTCCCTCCAATTATCAGTAAGGAAGATATCAAGCCGACCAATTACTCTAGTAAGATTCATCTTTCTCCTTTCACTTGAATTATTTTGATATTTAGCTCGTGGTTGATGAAATCCGGAGAGTCCGATTCGATTTAGCTAATACTTACAAAGGAATTGCTGGGAAATAGAAACACTATTCTCTACCAAAACAGCTGATCAAATGGTAGATGATCGTGCTTCCAAAGAGTTTAAGGAGTATACATATTGATTTTCATAAGAAGAAAGGTCCCAAGAGTAAGCTTGGTAACGAAGAAAGCAAAAATAAGGAGTCTTTGCACAAGAAAGATGATCATAAAGAAAGGAGAAGGCTTGAGGATTCGAATATTAGACTGCCTGATGATGTTAAAAGCGGAAGTGCTAGAAAAATTCTTGACAATGTGTAGCCGTGTAGGTTTCTTCGGTTGCGAAGAAGAAAGGTGAGGACTCCCATTTTTTATCAACTTATTGGTCCTTATCATGAATTTTTTGCCTCGACATTCACATACGAAAAGCATCAGTTCGGCCCTGTATCATTCACTGGTTCACTAGCAAAGGTTGCTGCTGTATCTCATTCCATTCATATGGATATGAAATTTGACTTGGGTTCCACTAGAAATGCTTCTGCAGTTCTGTTTGTGCTGCTGTGGCCTGTGAGTTCAATTTTGGCTCACAGAACATCGGCAAGGGGACAGATTAGAGGGTAAGCTTTGGATAGTTCTTGAATCTATTATCGGTAATGCCACAAACATGAAGGTTAAACTTAAACAAAGAAGATCCAATAAAGCAGTGCAGGTATCTAATTGTAGGTGCATTTATCTGGCTGTCCTGATGATATCTTGGCTACATTTTCGGTTGCATTCTGAACTTTCAAATTGGTTGAATGAAACCACTCCCCTGATGATGCAATAATAGTTCATATCATGTCGAGGAAGCAGATTCGTTTTCGTTTCCTGAAGTAATTATATCTAATATCTGTATCCGATGCATTTTCAGGTGTGGAAATAGATGAAATCATTCATTTTATAGGAATGTAAAGATGTGCTATAAGGCCTCTAGGAAATGAATGCAAGAAACCAAGTAAGTTTAAAGCCAGCAAAAATGTCCTCACTGATATTAATCACTTTGGATGCTTTACTAAGGCCGCCACGAGTCATGAACCAAAGCCTGTCAAAGACATCGGGATGGCCATAATGCATTCGGATTTTCAGCAGATTTGCGAAGAGACGTTGGAACAAGGTAACGAAACTCATTTCCTGAGCTGACATAAACCAAGCAACTGAGGAAACCGAGCCAGTGAAAATATGTTCTCTAACTCCCAAGATAGTTGGTACTTGAATTCTTCCAACAAATTTCAAATCTTTAGTGCTTCCTCGAAATAGTTGTCTTGGTTCATATCTATGGTTTGAACAGCATCACCACGAGTGAAGACAAAACCATGGTTCTGATTCTCTGGTTTGCCCTCTCCAAACTTCATTGGACCAGGTAACTTGATTCGATAGATCTCCACTTCCCTTTGTAATTGTTTGTCGTACTTAAGGAGAACAGAGTAATATTCCTGCTCTTTATTTCCTATTGAAATATAACCAACATATGCAATTCGAAGGGCTTCATTGTGTTTCAAAAGATCCAGGATTTCCTCAGCACGAGGGTCCCTTTTGAACTTATGTTCCCAATAGTTCTGACAGGAAACTACATATGTATACTTCATCAAAGCAATACCATACTCATGTCCTTTGCACAGAAATCTTGCTGAAGGAATACCTTCCTCTTCTGTAACCGAATTATCCGTATCCGATGAAGAATCAAGAAAAGCTAGCAGCTGTAGAGCTTGATGATAGTACATCATTCCCCTGATAGTGCGTGTAAGTGTCTGACCCTATAAGATGCCGAAAGCCTTATATCTCTTGATATGGTTGTTCTTAAATCATCTGTTAGCCATCACCCTCGATGCATTCTTTGGACGAAGTTTTTCCACTCATCATCATAAATGGTCTGCAGATAGTACAAGATAGAAAACCCATCTTTGTTCTTAGCTTGGAGTGTTTCTGTGCTGTATAATACATCTTCATCATTGAAAGGGATAAGAACACTGAAAGCTATCATATTTTCCACTCGAGGAGCTCGAGGCATTTGTCATGAAGTGTGAGTTGCTGAAGAAAGCAAGTCGACGTCTCGCCTCATTATTTACAGGACTCGTCTGCATTGGGTCCTTGGTGGTAAGAATTGTATGCAAGCACTTAACCTGCATATAGAAGTTCTTTTTACTGGGATCTGGAAAATCAACCGCATTCTGGAATAGGGATCCGGCCATGGCAGTTTGACTCTTAGGAGCCAACACACCTCAACTGGTATGTAGTTCTCTTTGCTTTAAAAAGAGAATGGACAACAATTTCATAAAGATCCTCCATACCATAAGCAATCTTTTTCACATTCTTGTTGAATTTAAGCAACAGCTCAAGAAGTTTTTTAAACTTGGATGAACTTGAAGCAGCGCAGTCATTCTAAATGTCTTTGTGAACTTCCCGATCTCAATAGAATGATCGATTTCCTGAAACAAGGCTTCGAGAGTGGAATGCTCCTCTGTTTTGTTTTTGATTAGTATATGAAGCATCAAGTACTTAACACTATCATACTTCAATCACAGCACATCTCCTATACTCATTCTTGCATATTTTATCCCACAGACAGTTATTGGGACGATCGATGAAGCCTGTAGCCAGATCAAGAGCACGTAGCAACTCATTCCCCAAAAGAGAACAAGGCCAAGGGACAACTTTGATTTCCCATGAATTCAGGGGCAACTGTAATAGCTCAACCACATCGTCAGATATGATATCTTCTTCCCTAAAAATGGTAATTGTTTCATTCCATATCAAAGCAAACTTTTTAGCCTTGACTTGGTTCGATTCGACCATTTTGAAAGGCTGCCTGAGCCCACATCGCAACTTCAGCCGATGAATGGCTTCACTAAATTTTCCCCTTCCACGACCGATATTTGTTTCCTCTTGTGGCATCAGGTTGGATTGAATAGCACCGGCAAAGAACTGAAACCTGTATCTCAGCTGCTCGATGTTTCTGATCTCACCGAGCTGTTGCATCAACCCCATTGCAGCCCGACAATTGGAGAATACATCTAGTACCAAATCTGAGTATCCGCCAAGTAAATCAACGTCACGGGAAACTACAACAATCCAATGATGAACTTGTTGCTGACACTAAAGATGGTTTGCCAATCCCACTCGTACTCGGTAATTCTCGAATCCAACTACTGTTTTGTTGTGCTAATCATAGGTTTAATCTGAATGAAGTAGCTGAACATAAATTTTGTGCCTAACACCACAGCCTAGAATAGAGTATACTTGAAACTATCAACTAACCCCTCCCTTAATCCGTGACCGATGAAACAGTCACCATGGAACCTCCATGAAACCAGGTAAAATACCTTACAATTCAGCCTAATACAGGGGAGGAAAAAAGTACCAAATTCACCAGTTCTGATAACCCTAAAGAAATGGAAGCCTTAGAAAAAGAGTTACCCTTGGGTTAGCCTCATCAGACCAATGCTTGTCTTTTGCGCCCAGATCCTTGTATAACAAGTTACAAAAGAAGAAGTCCATGCTGCAGCAACCAAAATCTTTAGCACCGTCCTAAGGCCGAGTCCCAACGTTTCTCTCGAAACACGACTGAACTCCATGGCTTCTTCGAGTAAAGCATGGAGACACCTCATTCCACTCCATGTTATAAACAATATTAGAGCTCTAACCTTGACATCTTTGTTATTCAAAGCCTGCCATGGAAGCTTCTTCTCATTCCAGGCCAAGATAACCGACGTGGAGGAAAAGAAAACGCATCAACCACAGCCGGTTGAAGCTTCTGAAAACATTTCAAAACGTCCTTTGTTCGACAAACCCAATTTTCCTTCCACTAGTAAAATCACTGTTGAAATCGAGCGGCCACTTGAGATTTTGAAAACGCTTCTTGCTCCAGAAGTACTCGTTGAAATCATCATAGTTCATATATCATGAGAGGCAGTTCCGTTTTTGCTTCTCCTCACCTCGATGTTGATTTAGTAGGTAGAGTTACTATGGTGTGAACTTTAAGTGTGCTGACACTAGGGTCAAATGAAATTCAGGGATAGTTAAGAGTCTCTTATCATGATTTTTGATTGAATTGTGAGGTTGAACTCTAATTTTTTTATTTGATACAATTTTTATCTAAAAATTATCTTTAGGATCATGTCATGGTTTGTGTATTAACACGTAACCTGTCTGTTTTTATAAAAAAAAGTATAAAAATTAAAAATTATCTTTTATCAAATATTGCATGGTTTCACAATCGAATAAACCTAAACTCATATTATTAATGGTAAAGTTAACATGTTTGAAAAAAGTCCCTTTTAATTGTCGCACTACGTACTGATCAAGCAGACATGCTACATCTACAACACTTCGGGTAAAATTTGAGAATTTTCATATGTTTATAGCACATTCTTCCTAAAAATAATGATAATATATTCGGGAATTTTTCTATATATTTCATTGTGATGGTTTGAATTGCCATGTTTGGAGACATTACCACATTATAATATATGTACGTATGTATGCATGTTGTGAGAGTGCATATTAGATTAACATAACCTTAAAAAAGGAGGGAAGTTGGTAGGAAGGTTCACATCTGAATAAAATATAGGCAGAGACTTAGTTTGTAAAGAAAGAATAGAAAAGAAAATGTCCATGCTTATCCCTAATCATCATTAAAATATTAAAACAAAAGTCATTGTTATAAGACATTGGCTTATAATTAAGTGTGTATTGGCTTATTATGTACTCATTTTATTATAGCAGGATCACTTCTGATTTCTCATTGGAAATGAACCGAAAATATTAAAAAAAATTACATTTTTAACAATTTTAAATTTTCATATGATTTAAATATTCTTTTTAAAAATCAACAACCTGGTTCTCTTGAAATTTTATAATTTCACACCTCTAAAATTTTAATATAACTTCCTAAAATTCTGTATTCCTGACAACAAATACAATATATTTTTTTATGAATTCATATTCATCCCTGTCTACGCTGTATCATCTGCTGTAAAGTTAAGTCAAAGTCAAGACTTCTTTTGCCTTCCCACATAGGAGAGAACTAGTTCTGTGTACAACAGTGGTTGCCCTATTTGCAAAGGCTAATAATAACTTTATAACTAAGCTGCATTTGAACAGAAATCGGTAAACATAGCACTGCACAACATTCTCAGATAAACATAAATCTGGTGCTGGTTTTACCTCAGCAGAGAAACTCTTGAGAGGATCTCTGCTTCTTCTGTATCTTTTCTTGGCACCCTGGCGTCGACCTGATTTGTTCTCTCCCATTGCAGCCCTAGTCAGCTTTACCATTTTGCTGGCGTAACATGTTTTTTGGTCTAATAGATAGACGGGCACATCACGAAGATGGGGAGTGGGAGGGTCCTTGCTCAGAACCTTGTCATGCTTCAATAAATCTGGCATGGTAAAATACACGAGACATAAGGATTCAGGGCATCATAATAACAGTAGAAATAATGAGAGCATTAGCCTACTATGTTTGTTACCTAGATCTCTTGGATTTACTTCAAAACGAGCCTTCAACCTAAACAAACAAAAGCAACCAACTCAAAAAAAAAAAATACACGCAGGACTAAACTCGGCAACCAGGCTAAATAAAAAGCTCACTTTTGATATCTTTGACAAACAATAATTACTCACTTTTCAGAGTTGAGAATTTCATTCCTTAAATCCTGAGCTCGTGATTCTCTAACAGCAATTCTTGTTACGCTCCTTGCCACATCCTGCAAGATTTCCCCTCTCAAAATAAGCATAGTGCACGTAATCCATAAACCACTTAGCACCGAAACAGCTTGCTGTTTAATGAAGCTATCCACCCCAATTTATAAAAGAAATCATGGATGAAAACAAATTTGTAAAAGCTAAAACTTTTCACTGTTTAACAGCCATTAAACTTGACCATAATAATTAAAAATGTATCACTGGACATTGAAGAACAAAATAACATCACCTCAGCCCTGTGTCGTAAAGACTCCACAGCATCCTTGGTCAACAATGAAAATGGCATGATAATATCCGAGTCATTGTCTTCTTCTTCACCCAAAAAGGATTTAATTTCTTCAAAAATTTCCATCTCATCTGGTGAAACCTGTTAATGAAAGAATGATTAATTGGCAAGAAGTACGAGCTGCGAATTGAAACAAAATGTATTTTGCTACAATCATAAATGTCATTCAACATCTATCACATCATTATCAGACACGTCTAGCCTATATACAGACGATATTAGGTGATGTAGTTTAAGGGGGAAACAGCAACAATCAAAAGAAATAAGGCTGAACAAACAAGTTTGGAAAGAAGTCAAAGAAAATAATAAGAATAATTGTTTTGCTGTAAAGCCTACAACTTATATATATATATATAAGTATATATATATAGGTTTGCTTTCTTGCAAACAAAGTTTTAGTCCTAACCCAAAAGATACCTAATAACCTTGAAAGCACTTTGTAGCCCCAGCCTTAGCCGTCTATCATACGACTATAAATTAATAAATATTATAAAGTAAAACAGAAATAAAAAATATTATTATCAAAGCCTAAATGACATGATGCCATAAACTATACTGTGACCACACCAAATCCAAAAGGTGTTGAAAATAGTAAAAAGGGGAACACAGAGTATATTCACGTGCAGTTATGTACGGTAATTAATGAGTCATTTAGCCAACAACGTGGCCCTACAAAAGTTATATATAATTTTTTCGGACAAACTCACAAGAGAAACAGAAGCACCAGCACTATACGCTCTTCCAGTGAATCCAATACGATGTACATATCCTGAAACAGTTGAAGGCATATCAAAATTTATAACCTGTGAAAGAAAGAAACATGAAAACAACATTAAAACCAAAGGCCAGTAACTATACTACACAGCAAACCTTATAGATGAAAAAGACTGACTGATCCTAATAAACGGTAACAACTGAGCTGACCATAAGTTTTGAAGCTTAGGTAAGATTTTATTAATTGGCTTATTGTGTGCACATTTTTGAAGTCAATTTCCCTCACAACACCAAATTCAGAGTCAATTTTTGGCTTAGCACCCTTTCTGGACTTCTTTAAGTCCGCATCTTTGTCCCTAATAGCTTGTTCCTTTTCTTTTGTTTGGCTGTCATCTCTTGTGATTGTTTGCCATACGTATTGTTATTTATGCCATGCTTGAGCTGAAAGATGAAAGTTTTGATAATACCATTTGCGGTGTATGTTGTGATTGTTTGCCATACTAATATTGACTATCAAAAAGCCCCGCATTGAATTCCTGATAAAAGGGAGAAAAAAGCAGATAGTAAGCAACTAAACTAAAAACTGTTAGTCAATATTAGTATGGCAAACAATCACAACATACATCGCAAATGGTATTATCAAAACTTTCATCTTTCAGCTCAAGCATGGCATAAATAACAATACATATAAAACAGTCTTTTAAATCTAAATAAAATTCATTGAAACAGGACAATTTAGCATACCTCCAGTATATGTAGACGAGAGTTCTGAGGCAACTCAGCATTCAAGATAGCAGACCTGATTCCAAACTGCCCACAGTAAACGTTATGATAAATAAAAGAACAGGCTGTCTACTTAATTGTAAAGTGCTTGAGTCTCAGTAGCTAAAATTGATAGCCAATGTTATGAAGTCAAAATAACATACTAAAAAATGAACCATTATGTCATAATCATGGTAATTTCCAAGAGAAGCATAAAATTTAAAATTCCCAAACTAAGATAGAGGTTACTTGCAATGGAACACTTTGAAAAGGATGACATAAATCTCCATTGCTCATGTGACATACTTTAAAACTATGCAAGTTGGCAATTGCTTTTAACTTTATGCAAGGAACTCAAATAGAAAGCATGCAAGAAAATATTAATTAAGCTAATTAGTGAATACTGAATAGCAAGGGTGAGGAAGCATTGAATTTCAGATAACAACAGAATACCTTCTCGAAGAATAGTTTCAATCTGAAACCAGCATCAATAGTGTTGGTAAAAATCAAAACTTTCTTCAACGCCAACTCTAACTTTATGTGAGCAAGAACATAAAGTCACTTATCGCTTGAATTGCATGAAATCTGAAAAACAAAAGATAAAGGGTAAAAAAATCGGGAAGCTTATTACTTAAAACTACAAATAAGTTTCGCAATCAATCAAAGATCACAGGAGACTAATTTAGGTAAAGCATTGTTCTAAAATAGATCAAATCAACCAACTAAACGCAGTAGCCTTTAAAATTTTCTAATATGGGTTATGGTTCTTACCCAAAACTGCTAAACATTTTTAGAGAGAACCTCATCCTTAACATCTTCTGCTTCTGACAAAGTCAAAACGAATGGATTGTGCAAAATCAGCTTTTTAAGTTGGTCGACATCGGGGCTGCCAAACACCAAATGCAAAAGTGATCAGAAGGGGTTGACAATCTTAAAAGAAAGAAAATGCATGGGTGTATTATCCATCTAGCTCACACGTACCCATATATATATATATACTAAATGGTTTTGATCCTATGATGGGAAGAAGTGGGAAAAGGGAAGGAAAGAAAGAACGAAAAAAAGAGAAAGTGTACGAAATGGAAATGGAAAGAAAGGAAAGAATAAAAATAAATTTATTTTTGTGATTATAAATTTATGCGTGTCTTGGTATTTTCATGTATTCATATCATTTTATTTTTTTAAAATTTTCCATGCAATTTACAAAACATACAAACTTAGAACAAACCTTGACGTAGCAGACAGAAGAAGGCATTGACAATGTCTAGGAATGGCCGGAGTAAGAGCTTTAAGATCATCTCCAAAGCCAAATTGCAATAAAAGATCCGCCTGTAAACAAATATCCATCAATGAATTCCTTTTGAAATACTGAGGAATAATGTTCCATTAGTAGAAAATGGGCAAGGATAGCACATGAAATATAGGTTGCAGATTTATTTGATATATGCTAAGTTAGAAAGGAGTGAGCATTTATGGTATGCAGTCCCATTCCAAATAACAGTATAAGATGTTTGAAGAGCGGCATGCAAATCATATGAGTACATAATCCATTCATAAAATCAACTATGATAAAAATTTAGAAAGTTTAACTAAATTTAACTCAAATTCTTACCTCATCAAGGACAAGAATTTCTAGTGATTCACTGATAGAAGCCGGCTGAAGTAATCCAGCAGACAAGCAATCCCTTATGCACTTTGGCGTAGTTACCAGAAGATCCGGAGGCCCTGCCAATGCAGTTCGCTGCAAATTTAACAATACAAGAAACATGTCAGCAAAGGTGGCTCAATGCTAAAGCATTACATGAATGATACATAAATGATCAAACCAACCAAATCAGAAGCTGACATTCCACTGGTCAATTGCACAATTTTCAAATGAACCCTACATAGTTCAACCAATGAAATGGCCAATTAATAAACCTGGAAACCAATTATACAAACGAACACCAAACAGTTAATAAAAAGTATAATCTCAAAACTACCAGCTATTTCCTAATCACAAAAATTTAAATTTTCTTTATATCAAATGCATTTCAACAACCAAAACGAGTCTAAGAAATATAGCATGTCTGTTGACATAATTCACGCGAGGGAACGAGAATGAACCCACCTGGAGCAATCCTGTACTTCGAACTGTAATCCGACTGAAACAGCTTCTGAAGCAACGGAAGTAGATATGCAAAGGCTTTTCCGGTGCCTGTTCTAGCTTGAGCTACCACGTCTTTTCCTTGCTAATAACACGCGTGTTTGCCATTCAAAAAGTAATTAAACAAAAAAAAGGGAAAAATACTACAAAAATAAAGAATTAGACATGATTCTTCAAGCTTACTAGAATGAGAGGGATAGCGACCCGTTGAATTGGAAAAGGCTTGTCAGCGCCTTTTTTGAGAAGAGCTCGGATCAAGCGATGGTCCAGACCTAATTCTTCGAAGCTTTTCTCTCCTTCTTCTTCGTCTTCATTGCGTTCTTCTTGCTTATTTTCTTCTTCTGAAGTAGGTTTAGGGTCTTGTGGAGGCTTCTCTTTGTTCTTTTTAATCATTCTTTTGATGGATAGTTTAGGTTTGCAGACTCTTAGCTCAAATGGCAGCTTTGGTCTTGCAATCGGCGACAACGTCGGCGAGCAGTAGCGAATGCGGCAAACGTTAAAGAGATAAGTGAAATTTAAAGCCCGGGTAAAGCAGACGGCGGCAAATATTTGAGTCTTTAGGTTTTCTTCGTTGTTACTTCTATTTTGGGTTCAAATGGATCAAAACAAAAATTTAATTGGTTAAGAAATGGGCCATTACACAAGATTTTCTGGCTCTATCTAGGGTTAAAATATTCTAACCCCATAAATTTCGATCCAACTTAATCTTATAATGTTATTTTTTTTAATTTGATTTGAGTTTGGGATCAATACAAAATCAAATCTATGGTAATAATATATCTATATATTTATAAATAAGAATAAAGATAAAAAAAATTATTTGCGTAGAACAAAACATGTTTTACTTCAAAATTTGAAATAAGTATAAGACAGTAAATATTTTCAAATATCAGAATCTAATAGAAATCTTTGAAATTGGAATAAACAAAAAATTAATATATGTCATCTTGTGTCATCTCTGCTTTGTATACTATATAGTCCTTCATGACTGTTTATATAAATCGTATAAATTATTTAGTATGTTCTCAATAGCTGTTAAAAGTGTACGAAAGATAAAATTTTAAGATAAAATATGAATAAATTTTAATCCAGGTTCAGAGCAAGACATTAAAAAATTGTTTTATCCCATTTTATATATGTCCATATTTTGTATATCGTGTCATCTTTTATTACACTTATATATAAATAGTACTACAAAATTTTTAAAATATTTTTAATAACTTCTAAAAATTGTAAAAATAAAACAGAATCTCAATATTAAATTTGTACATAAACATAATAAAAGAATATATCGATTATTGAGATTTCATCTAGCTGTCTGATGGAAGACATGTCGATATCCGAAATTCTAATAAATCAAAGGACCAAAACAATAATTTTACCCAAAGGGAATGAAGAACGGTGTACAAAACTTCAAGGAAGCACTTATTCTATCTATCCTATTTCTTACATTTTTCTTGTTTTGTCACCGGTCCTAAATCCGAGACCAAATCACAATGTAATTTTTTTCAAACAAATTCTGGGTTTGAATTTAATTTTTATTTCACCGTGGCTGATTGAAGTTATCTCCAAGCAAATTTAACTTTTTCAGTGAACCGCCATGTGAAAACGCGTCCTTTTATGATTTATAATATATGAATAGCTCCAAAATCAAGATTCCAGAAAACCCACTGCGTTAAGCTTTCAATTTCACATAAAAAAAGTTGCAATTTCTTCTAACCAAATCATCCACTGTTCGGCTTTGCCCATAATGGCTTTCAATAGTTTCCCGAAGCTCTCGATTCTTGCTGCTATTGTCTCCTTAATGTTATCCCGCAACCTATATGAAGTCTCCGCCGCTACTGGTGGTCGGATGGGCGGCTCTTCCTTCTCCGAAGAGAGCCCACCTTCTTCAAACCGGTATGATGATCATTATTACGACCATCATCATGATCATGATCATTATCGTCATCATCACCACCATCATTCCCAGCCTGGTCTTTCGAGGAACGCCGATCAAGAGACTGGTTCTACATCGCCGGCTGTTTCTTACTTAATTTTAACCATTTTCGTTGGAGCAGCTTCGGCCATAGTCTACCGTAGTGCTGCGGAAAATAGAATGACTGTTCTACAAGTTCAGGTATTGCTCAACCGTTCTTCTTGCTTTTGCATAATTTCTGAATCAAATTAATCCCAAAGTTACATATGAAATTTGATTTAATTTGATGCAGTTATATATTTGGAACTTCGATTTTGATTTTGTTAAAAGTTTGTGACCCGAATATCGTTTTCTAAACCGAAATTAAAATTTCATGTGTACGATTGCATAAATTGAAGTTAATGTATCATATTGTACATTGAATCGAAGTTCGTTTAGTTTTGAGAGTTATTCCTTGACATTCACTGAATCGAAGTTAATGTATCAAATTCTTAGTGCTTGTGCAAATTTCTTATGATGAGAAATCCTTTTAACATACCAGTGAAAGGATCCCGGAATGAGAATCGAGATTGTTCAAATAGGTTGATTCCGGTGTTTGTTCGTCGGTTCCGAAACAATGAAATTGTTCTCATTAGTCATCAGTCTTTGTTACTTTCTTGATGAAATTATTTCCATTTTCTAATTGCTAGTTGGTGCTTGAGAAAGTTTGAAAGGCCATAAGAGTGGGATTTGCTTATTTGTTAATTTCACCAGTGAAAAGATCCCAGAATGTGAACCGAGATTGTCCAAATAGGTTGATTCATATGTTAGTTCTTTGGTTCTGAAAGAATGAAATTGTTCTCATTAGTCAGCACTCTTTGTTGCTTCCTTGATGAAAATTAATTCCATTTTCTAATTGCTAGTTGGTGCATGAGAAAGTTCAAAAGTCAATAAGATTGGGATTTGCTTATTTGTTAATTTGCTTTTGTACCATGCAATCTTCATATAGAAAGTAATTTGTTTTAGCAAGCTTTCTTTCCTCATTTCTTCAGGTTGGCTTATCCGCAAAAGCCCGTTCGGTGCAAAAAGAACTCACTGAAATTGCTTCGACAACAGACACTTCTACTGCAAAGGGCTGGAACTTCATACTGCAGGGTTCTTTTCTCATTCCTTGCTTTTTCTAACAGCAAAATGATCCCAATGACATGATAGTATGTACTCCACTGATGTGGTGTAAATCTGTAGAATGTGCTCACTAATCAATATGTACTTGACAAGGACCGATTACACTTATGGCCGGCTCTTCATTTTTCTTGAAGTTGTTGTGTTGGACATAAATACCGGGATTTGACTTCCAATGAGCTTCGAATACATGAAAAACCTTTCAAAAGTCTTAACCATACCTGTATCCAACCATCAAATCCGAGTCTGAGTTACATAGTTTAATTCTATAGGAATGATTGAAGTTATCTTGCCAGCAATTTATCTAACTTTCGCGTTTTTCATCATTTTTGTTTTGGAATCAGAAACCATATCGTCATTGCTTCATCATCCACATTGTTATCTTCATGGCTATTCATCTGTAAGTCCAACTTCCATACACAATTCTGTCTTGTTCTTCATATCATGATGATTTGTTGCAGGCTTTAATGGAGCTTAAAATAATTTACTGTTTCATTCTCGTTTGAACTAGTAGATTGACCCAAAACTTAATTGCAATTTTCGTTGTCACCAATGATTTTCCTTACAGGTAACTCATCATTGGAGCATCGGAGGTGCTGAACAGCAATTTCAACGAATTTCCAAGGAAGAACGCCTTAAATTTGACATAGAGACGCTGGTAAACGTCAACAACAATAAAAAGCAAAGAGTAGTTGTTTCAAATGGTGACCATACAAACAAGGACCGGATAGTGGTATGAATTCCAGTTACTTTCAGCTATTTCGTTCTGGTTTTTTTTTCCGATCCGTATTAATCTATCTTGTCCTATGGTTCTCAAACTTTTTGTTTTTCTTCCCATATCCGGTACATGGATACGGGATATGATCTTAAAGGACGCACCAGAGACATGAAAAACTTAAAATCTTACCATACCTGTATTCGACATATAGATGTCATCAACCTCCAAACTTGTCTCGTTGACAGGTAACAGTTCTAGTGGCTGCTCAAGGTGCATACAAGCTGCCAGCAATCAACACTACCGACGACATGAAGGAGGCATTGCAATCTTTGGCAGATATCAGTTCCAGCAAAATCAAGGTAAGGACTGCGAATCTTCACGTGGTATCCGAGCTTTGTTTGATTCATCATTGATGTTACTTGTAAGTAAACTTTTATTTTTCCTTTAGGGTGTAGAGGTGCTTTGGAGCCCACAAGATGAGAATGACTCACTGTCAATTGAGGAATTGCTTGAAAATTACCCACAGTTGAAGAGAATATGATGGCTCTCACTCTTTTTGTGAAGATGTAATATTCTTTTATAACCAGAAGGGGAATGTGTTGGCCGGAGATCGAATGCTCGGGATTTTATTTCGACGGAAGTCATTTTTGAAACTGCACCGCATGCTCAGTTGACAGTAATATTTTTATATATAATGATTTTGGTAATAGTTGCAGAACATTTGTAATAGTATAAGGTGGGTCGAAATGTCTATTTTTATCACCTTATAATCATCGTGCAAGGCATCGTATTTTAACCCATCGACTAATGGATTCGGAATAATAAAATTGAGCATAATTTTTATACCGTGACTGAAAAGTTCGTCCTGCTTTCTTTAGTTGATGGATTGACCAAAGTTATGGTTCTTCAAAACGCACAACATACTCTCATCTTCCCGGAAAGTCGGTCAATGGTGATGTCATTTTCATCCCGACCACAGTCGATGACTCCATATTCGAAGGACGTCATCAACCTTTAAATATGTCATTTAAAATACGAAACAACTACAAGCAGCGCTAGAATTCAAAGCAAATCTAAAATCACAATTATTCCCTCCTGCATTGCAGTTTTTCCAGTGTTCTAACATCTACAAAGAAATTAGGCTCTCCACATATGGAAAAGCTGATGCTCGACAAGTTTCAACGGTTTACTCCAATATCCGCCTTCTTTAGAGTCCGATCTCGATGATTATATGTAAACAAACGCCCGTCGTTTAAGATCAAAACTTCTTCGGTCCTCGGGAACTCAATCACTGATGGACTGTGTCGACTACTTGATGTTTGATATTTTTTTAATCCGAGTTTGAAACAGATCGTGGCAGATTTTATGAGAGATGATCCGAGTCGAGTTGGAGTTGGGACAAAATTATATTTAAGATGCAAAACATATTATCTGTTTCATATAATTATTAAAACACTTTTATATATAGTAAAGATAATTATTATAATGCGGTGCAATTATCTTTTCATTTTGTGGAATAAAAATTGAAAAAAATATTTTTGTCGAGTCAAGATATAAAATTTACCCCAGATTTAAGATAGGGTGTAATTGAATCGAGCTTAAACGAATAGAATTATGTTCATATTCATTTATTTATTTTTGAAGGTGTTTGTGTATATTTGTTTAACTCTTTTATTTAGTATATATGCATCCTGCAATCGCCTGCTAATTAGTATATAATTTACTTGTGCCAGACATAGCATATATGTATCCTGTAATCGCCTGATTAATTAGTATATGATTTACTATAAAGTTTATAAAATTATTGAATAAAACAAACAAATAAAAAATCATAATAGAATTAATTTTTCAATAATAAAATCTTCTCTAAAACTTTTTTCTCTCCTAATTTTTTCATATTGGTAATCCATTCATCTCTTTTCTTTTTGTTTTTGTTGATCGATGACGGCACCAATTTTATTGTTGGTTGTCGAATGCCGATATTTTTTATTTTTTTCTTTTTAATAAGTTTGTTTGTATGACAAGTTTTTCTCTGCCTTTTAGCACGTTTTTCGATCGTTTGGCCATTGCCTTTTCTAAGGGTTGATTAGACACCGCCACAACTGATCAAAATGGTGTTTATATGTTATATTATTGATCTTCTCTACTTTGGAGCATTGTATTGGATTTAGATACCCGTTATGCATTCATGAACATCTTTTTACGTCACTCGAGTATGATTTACGATTTGTCGATGGTTTTTTAATAGCTTAATCCCCTTTTATGGTTCGTTTGTCGATGTCATCAGATATGTTTGTATCTATCTTTATTTGAGTTTTCTTTATTAGATTTTAATCTTTCCTTGTATAGTCCTTATGTGATCTTAATTTGCTAGTTTTGTTTCAATGATTATAAGTAATTGTCCTAATTATGTGCTTAATTTATGATTATGATAGTGAATTTTTGTTGTCATTTAGGATATTTCTTATTTTGAATAAACTTAGTGATTTATTAAACAAAAACATAATAGAATTATATCTTTATATAAACATTAATGTTCTAACATTTATAGAGAAATTAGGCTCTCCACGTATGAAAAACCATAAACAAAACTAGGAAAAATAATTTAGAATAATGATATACTGTTTATATAAAAATTTGAATGGTTTAAATTAAGAATGTATATGAGACTTGAACTCGACAGTTTTGAACAAGTTAAGTTTTTTTTTTTTAATACAAGATTAGTGTTGAGTTAGATTGGGTTTTTGAAGGATAAGGTCAGGTTATATTTGGATTTAGGGTAATAAATCTCAAACCTTGGATAATAGAATAATTATCTTTTATATATTTATAAATAATTGCAATAATACTCTACTCTCTTTATATATATTTTAATTAGACCCCTATTTACCAAATAAAAATGAGAATTGAATATATATTTATATTTGATCTAATTAGGTCAAGTACATGTTTTTATCTAATCGAATCAGTGAAGTTTCTCTAAATTTAGATCGGATAAGATGATGGGTAAAAGATATAGTATTTCAATCGAATTCAGATACAATAAAGACTCAACCGAACTTGATGCATGTTCATCCTTAATTTAAATTATAATTGGTAAATATAAAAGAATTACAATTTAATATGAACTTAGGGACCTGCAACGGTGTTATATATTACCCCCATGACATTGAAGTATGAAAGGCTTCACATATTTTTTTAGTGTCTACGTGGGAAATTTTGAAGAGCTTGGTTGGGGAGTACTCTTTTCCTCCATGCTTTAGGAGGTTTTCTATGAGACTCACAATTTAAGTTCAATGATGTATGATTTAATCTTTAATAAAACTATATTGGCTAGCAAAAAGTCTCAGCAAAATAATTTATTATAATAAATAATTATTTAGATTATAAGCCTTATTAAAAACCTCCCTACTGCTAAATGAAGGAAAATCTGAGGGAGCGGGGCGAAAAATAGAATTTGACCGCTGAGGGAGCGGGGCGAAAAATAGAATTTGACCGCTCTAATATCTCGAGATAATCTGTCGATCTCATCAAAAGATTCCCACCAGCACCGAAGATGAAGCAACAAATCATTCACCCAATTGGTAACAACTTGACTATCGGATTCTATAATTAGAACTGGCTTGTCTTTCCAATCTGATTCAATGCACACTTCCAAGGCAGTTTTAATAGCCATTAAAATAGCATATTTCGCTCCTTGTTCCTTCACTGGCCCAAAAAATATTGCTGGAATGAAACCTTCTTCTGACCGTAAAACTCCTCCACTCCCAGCCTCCTTTTCCATATCTGCACTCACAACATTAAATTTCACAATCCCCCTATGTCGAGGAACATATTCTGAAAAAGACTTTCAAACCAACGAACTGCACATCCTCGGATTATCCCACAAATCCATTTCTTCTAGCATAACTTCCTCTTTAGCTGCTTTAATCTAAATAAAAGCTATCATTATAGTGCAAAAAACTAAATCAAGAAGTGAAGTTATTTTTTGACTGAAGATTTTTTTGTCTCTGGCGAGCATAGACTCCTCAATGCAATCGTTAACGAGATAAGCCAAATAGACTTTGATCTTCCAAAGCGTGACGATTTGTTGTAGGCATTGATGGATTTTTTTTCTGTGTCGAATAACAGTCTACTTAGTTGATGCATGTATGTGAAATGGGACTTTGAGATGTAACCTTTACCTAGTTGTGTTGTACTCTTTTCTTTCGTGAACATGACTCCTAATGAGGCTAGGAATTTAATTTTCGGCCGTAAATTCTCAACAGTTATGCCCAACTAATGAACCTCCTCGAAAGGTTAATGAGATAAATTCATCTTCCTAAGAAAGTAAGATAGATAAATTAACTGATGTAGTCAATTCTTTTGTTGCAGGAAAGATTTGAACCAACATATTATGTGGAATATGTGCATTACCTGATCATCCAACAGACGGTTGTCCACTGATTCAAAATGACACATAAAGAGCTTATAATCCATATGGCAATACTTACAATCCATGATGGAGGGATCATCCAAATTTCAGTTACGCTCAAAACTCAAGGCCTAATCAAGCTTATTAATCAAGACCACCTCCACTACCCCAACAGTCATAGAAATCGTCAATCAATTGTCGAAAGGTTGACTCTTTCCATAGAAAAGTTTTAGACTCACACAGAAACCCACTTGAAGGAGTTAGACAAGAAAATGAGTCAACTGGCTCAGTTTGTGGGACATTTAGAATCATAGATTAAATATCAAACAGAAGCAAAATCAAGGAAAAATATCAGTGTCATCACTCTTCGGAGTAGTACAGTTGATGCATGACCGGTTCCAGAAGATGAAACAATCCAAAAGAAAAAGAAGCTCGTTGACTCAAGATCCCAAAAGGAGAAAGATGAATTACAAGCAAATCCGACACTATCTCCTTATGCTGTGTCACCACCTTTTCCATCAAGGTTAGTAAAAAGGGATAAACAAAATGAGGAAAATGAAATATTAGATGTATTTCAGAATGTGAAAATTAATATACATCTCTTTGAGATTATCCGAAAGGTTTCAATATATGCTTGATTTTTAAAGGACCTCTGCACAACAAAGAGAAGACTTACGGAGAACGAGAAGGAAAATCTGGGAGAACATGTCTTAGTCATTTTCTAACGAAAGGTACCACCAAAATTGAAAGACCAATGTATGTTCGCAATACCTTGTAAAATTGGTAATGTTGGGATAAAGTGAGCCATGTGTGATCTTGGCGCCATAATTATAAGGTGGTAAAAATCCATCTTTCGGTCAATACTGTAGATGTTGATTTTTGAAAAAGTCGTGAATGTTGGAAAAATTCTTGATTTGTTTCATAGTATTTGATTGACATCCAAGTGCTTCTCCAACTGGTTTTCTTCTTGGATTCATTTATCATGGATAACAATTCTATTGTCTGAAGTCGAGTAAGAGACTTATCACCTTAAACCATAACCTAATTCGATTTAATTTTATCCTTCATTTGATTGGATGCAGTAGAACATAATACAACTTTTGATGATTTGTAAGTTAGAATGGAAGGATTATGATATTAAATTGTTGCTCTTGATCTTCGAAGGCCTTTTACCTCGTGTAAAGTGAGAGTAATGGTCTGGTTGCTGTGATCCGGTGCCTAATGCGGCTTGTGAATTTACAGTTATAGAAGTTTTAGCGTTTCTTGTTTTTTAGGGATGACCTGTGTTTTTGCGGATGCAGTGATTGTTGGAAGCTATCTTCAGTTTTTATATTGCCAGTTTTTATTGGTGTTGAACACTGTGAATTATTGTTTGTTATACTTAGTCCAGGTTGTATATACTTTTTTTTCTCTATCTAAGATTAAGGAGGTTTTTAATGAGGCAAATAATTTGAATAGCTTTTGTTGGATTCTAAATAAAATCATCTTGCATAGTAAAAGAATGTTCTAAATTTGTTCTCAAACTTTTGAACATTTCAATTTCATCCCTAAACCATGCCCTTCATTCTAAATTGATCCTTAAACTTTTTGAACATTCCAATTTCATCCCCAACTATATTTATATACTAATCACATCTCTTGTTAATAAAATCATTTGGTCAAATTATATTATTATATGTAGAAAAAATTACGTTAAATTACAGTTGAAACTAATTACATATTTAGATGAATTTAGGGATGAATTGGAATATTCAAAATTTTATGGACTAATTTAGAATGCCTTAAGTGAACTAAAACTTAATCGGAAAGTCTTTTAACATTCTATAAATATATGAATTTTAGGGTTTTAGGTTTGAATCTGGTCGACGGCAGCCAACCGATATGAATCCAAAACGAAAACCAGCAAGAGCAGCACTTGGGTGTCAAGTCCCCGAAGAAATCGTTGTGGAGATTCTTTCCAGACAATAGGTTAAATCCCTGTGCCGATTCAAGTGCATGTCGAAGGTGTGGTGCAACCTAATCTCCGCTACTGATTTTGTAAAGTTGCAACTAAACCAATCTATTAAGTCCAAGAGAGGGAAACTTGTTCTGCTTAGATATATCAAATTTATTCTGCGATTCGAGTTGGATTATGAATCTTTGTTTAGTGGACACAGAGTGAAGCTGGTGAAGGAGGACTCAACGTTCGACCTGAGAACCATTCATTATGTCGGGAGCAATGTTATCAAAACCGGACCGGTCGGTTCGACAGGTTGAACTGAAAATCGATGTCCGGTCCAGTCAGCCTCCAAAACTAATTTTGCAATGAACCGGTAAAACCGGTGTGAACCAACGGTTCACACAGTTCTATTTTTATTTTTTAAAATTAAACAAAACGACGTCATTTTGTTATATTTTTTCAGCCCCAACTTTATTTTGATATTTTCTGATTTTGGCTGGGTTAAGCCATTTTCAGTTTTTCACTTTTTATTTCACGAACGTTTGCCTCTTTTCCACTTTGGTTTCCTTCATCGCCGTTCCGTCTCTGGCATCATACTCTCTCACCGTCGTTCCTTATTCTCGTAAGATGGTAATGTTTAAGCTTCCCATTTTTTTTTATTTTTAATTCATCTTTTAATTGAATGTAAATCTTTGAGTTTGTAGTTTATTATAAATCCTTGCGGATCTTCACTCGTTGTGTGCTCATATAGGTTGATTGATGATCTCCTTTTTCAAGCTTTCTCACTTGAAATGTGTGGAATGTAAATTTGCATCCATTGACCGATTAGTTTTTTGTTTTTCGGGTTTCTAAATCTTAGGGTTTCAAATTTGTAGTTTGTGCTTTGATGATGTGGATTTTTATGGCTCGGTTTTATATCTATGGAATTTGATGAATAGCAGCCGATCTTGATTCTAGTGTGATTTGCACCTTGATTATGCTGGATTTGATTTTTAATATAGTACGTTTTGATATTCATTCTTTGGTAGAAATTCAACTTGATCTTTTAAGTTCTTTCTGCTTCGAAAACTGGTGCTACCATTTTATTCGTTCACTCTATTCCACATAGATCTCCCGAAAACCATGTTCGTTCCAGAGGCTGAGTTTCCAGCATGGGTTGTCTGTTACATCCCTGCTACAATGTCATTCCTCAACATCCTTCCAGCCCTGAAGTCTTTCCCGTTCATTGTTCCTTACCTTCTTTTCGAGAATACCATGTCAGTGACCAAGTTCAATGCTATGATATCCGGTCTTTTCCAACTTGGCAGTGCATGAGTGGGTTGTTACCAAAAAATCTGGCCTATACTCGGAGGGTGATCTTGTTTCCTTGGTTGAGAAGAAGCCAAAACATAACCAGGTTGGATCAGAACCCAATCTTGAGGAAATGAAAGCAGAACTCATGCAAGAACAATGTTTTTGAGTTTATGTGATCTCAAAAGAGCCGACTTTTCCTGATCAATTTTGTTTCATTTGATATTATGATATTTAACTTATATATGTTATGATTTGATATATTTATATATTTTAATATTGTGAACTTAAAAGGAGTGTTATATATATATATATTAATATTACTTTGAATATTATGTAAAAATTTTAAAAAATATATTATTTTATATAAACTCAATAAACTAATACCTTCACTAGTTTAAGGTCCGGTCAGGTTTTAAAAATATTGGTTGGGAGTATGAAGGTATGGTGTTCATGCAACGGCTTGTTGTGTGTTTTTGTTTCTCCAAAATCCCTAGCGTTGGTTAATCCATCAACCAGACAAACCAAGACAATTGTTTCGGATCATTGTCCCCAAATTAAACCCAGACAATTACCATTATTAGGTGGGTTTGGATACGATGCCTTGCACGAAGATTATAAGATAGTAGTGATAATTGATAATACCATAGTAGAAGTTTACTCTTTAAAATACTGTGCATGGACTCGCATTGGGGAACATTTCCCTCGTGATGCAATAATCATATATGATAGTGTAGACATTAATGGAGTTATCCATTGGCTTACTTTGTACGGGTCGGAACCAGCTCTGAGCATCATTGCTTTCGACCTATCAAAGCAAGAATTCTGAAGGATTTCCACACCATTTTTCCAAGCTGATTATTGATGGGTTCAGTTGTATTCAATGGGAGGAAATCTTTGTATTGGGAGATATCGACCAACATTGTATGAATTTTGGGTCATGGAAATCTATGGCAATGACTATTCATGGAAAAGGACCGTTTCGACATTCACTTGTCCATGCATACCCTCCGTGCTCGATTTTCCGAGGAGCGAAGAAACTTTGATCATAGGTTACAGGTGTTTGTGTATATGTGATCATCGGTACAGGACTCTAAGGGAGGTGAAATTTGCACAAAATTCACCGCTTCATGCCGAGAAACGGGAGTTTTATGGGTTTTCATATATAGAGAGCCTAATTTCTCTTTAGATGTTAAAACATTTGTATTTATATAAATTTATAATTCTATTATGATTTTTTGATTTGTTTGTCTTATTCAACAATTTTATAAATTTCATAGTAAACCATATACTAATTAATCAGATATATGTTGGGAAATAAACCAAGTACAAGTAATTTCCCTATAACCAGATTAGTGAGAATGCAAAATAAAAGCGGAAAAATAATACCCGAAATTGATAACGGAGTTCAGCCAATTGTGTTTACGTCTTCGGACTGCTGCAGATCTTTTACTAAAAGAGAAAATTTACAGGTGTTTACAAAACACTCACTACTCACAAGAAAACTCTCTAGTATTGGGAGAAAGAAATGATTTTTGGGATGGTTTTGAAGCTAAATGACCTAGGGTATTTATAGTTGAAACTTAAGGACTTAATCTTGTAAATACCCTAAAACCTAGGGATTGATTGTGATTATCCCATTATCATTTTTCAACAAACATCTACCAAACTTTGAAAAACTATTTTTCAAAGAAACATTTACCAAACTTTGAAAAACATTTTCAAAGAAACATTTACCAAACTTTGAAAACCATTTTTTCAAAGTTGGTTACCAAACTTGAAAACCATTTTAATACTTTCAACAATATCCCACTTGAAGACTGATTTTAATCTGTCTTTACACCTCGATCAATGCAACAGCTTTTCTAGTCTTGTTACTCTAGCATGCCAACTGAAGTTGAACACAACTTCAGTTTGTCTGTAGTCACCGTCTTTGTCAACATATCTGCCGGATTTTGAGCTCCACTGATCTTTTCAAGTTTCAAAATCTCATCTTCCAGAAGAAACCGGATAAAATGATATCGCAATTGTATGTGCTTTGTCCTGGAATGAAAAGACGGATTCTTTGCTAGATGTATAGCACTTTGACTGTCGCAATACAAGACATTGTTTTCTTGTTTCTTGCCTAACTCTTCCAAGAAACTTTGGAGCCAAACCATCTCCTTGCTAGCTTCCGTAACAACGACATATTCTGCTTCAGTTGTGGAGAGAGCAACTATCTTCTGTAGTTAAGAAACCCAACTCACTGTGGTTCCTCCTAGAGTATAGACATACCCTGTAGTGCTCCTTCTGATGTCAACATTTCCGGCTAAGTCAGCATCTACATAGCCTGTCAGTATCGTATCTTCACCTTTGAAACAAAGTGCTTTGTTTGTGGTACTCCGCAGATATCTGAGGTCCATTTGACTGCTTCCCAGTGTACCTTGCCCGGATTATTCATGTACCTGCTAACAGCTCCCACTGCTTGAGCAATATCTGTTCTGGTACAAACCATGGCATACATCAGACTTCCAATTGCTGAGGCGTACGACACCTTCACCATGTGTGCACGTTCTTCCTCCGTCTTTGGTGACTGTTCTTTGGAGAGTTTGAAATGAACACCTAAAGGTGTACTTACTGGTTTATCATCTTGCATGTTGAACCTGGAGAGTACTTTGTTGATGTACTCAGCCTGTGATAATATCAAAGTCCCTGACTTTGTGTCTCTCTTGATCCTCATCCCAAGAATCTGCTTTGCAACGCCCAAATCCTTCATAGCAAACTGCTTTGACAATTTTTGCTTCAAGTTTATAATCTCTTGCATGTCTGAGCCTGCAACGAGCATGTCATCAACGTACAACAATAAAATAATGAAGCTATTATCGAACCTCTTGATGTAGCAACAATGATCTGCTTGGCATCTGGTAAAACCACTGCTACTCATGAAACTATCAAACTTCTTGTACCACTGTCTAGGAGCTTGTTTTAAACCATACAAACTCTTCTTCAACCTGCATACCATGTTTTTCTTGTCTGCCTCTATGAAGCCTTATGGCTGCCTCATATAGATTTCTTCCTCCAAATCACCATGAAGGAAAGCTGTCTTTACATCTAACTGCTCAAGATGTAAATTCTCTGCAGCTACAATTTTCAACACCAATCTAATTGTAGACAGTTTCACGACTGAAGAGAAAATTTCATTGTAGCCAATACCTTCTTTTTGCTGAAAACCTTTGACAACCAATCTCGCTTTGTAGCGTTTGCTCCCATCGTGCTCTTCTTTGATCTTGTAAATCCACTTGTTGTGAAGCGCTTTCTTACCTGGTGGTAATTCAGCTAATTCCCACGTCTGATTTGACAAAAGCGAGTCCATCTCATCTTTCATGGAAGACTCCCACTTGACTGAATCCTCCACTTGCATTGCTTCATCATAGCACTCTGGTTCACCATTGTCAGTCAACAACAAGTAGTGCAAAGAAGGAGAATACCGTTGGGTTGGTTTAGGAATTCTGAAGGAGCGTCTTAGTTCCGGTGTGCCTGGTTCTTCTTGAACTGCTTCAGGACTTATCTGAACATCATTTCCAGAAATCTCCTCAAACTCAGCAAATTCCTTTGTTTCAGCTTTGGTATTGGAGCTGCTTGATTCTACAGTTGACCTGTCTTTGTACATCACATTCTCATTGAAAATGACATCTCTGCTTCTAATGATCTTCCGATTTTCATAGTCCCAAAACCGGTAACCGAACTCATCACCGCCGTAACCAACAAAGGCACATTTGTTGGACTTAGCATCAAGTTTACTTCTTTCAGCAGAGTCTATGTGTACATAAGAAATACAACCAAACACTCTTAAGTGTGAAAGATTTATTTATTTCTTGCTCCAAACTTCCTCTGGTATTCTGCAATCCAAAGGAACTGAGGGCCCACGGTTGATCAGGTAAGCTGCAGTGTTAATAGCTTCAGCCCATAGAAATTTCGGCAATCCGGCATGTATCCTCATGCTTCTGGCACGTTCATTCAGAGTTCTGTTCATGCGCTCTGCTACGCCATTCTGCTGCGTTGTCATGGGAACTGTTGTCTCCATCTTAATCCCATTGTTTGCGCAAAAATCTCTGAATCTCCTATTTCTGTACTCTCCTCCATTGTCAGACCTCAACCGCTTGACTTTCATACCATTCTCATTTTCCACCATGGCCTTCCATTTTCTGAAGGTATCAAAGACTTCTGATTTTTTCTTCAGAAAATAAACACACACACCTTCCTTGTAGAATCATCGATGAAGGTGACATAATATAATGAGCCTGCAAGAGATGGAACTAGAGATGGTCCCCATACATCAGTATGAACTAACTCTAACTTTTCAGCCTTGGGTGTCTTACCAATCTTTGCAAAGCTGACTTTCTTTTGTTTGCCAAAGATGCAATCCTCGCATAGTCCAACATCTACATTCTTTAGATCCGGCAGCTTCCCCTTTGACAAAAGTGTCTTCATCCCTTTCTCGCTCATATGACCAAGCCTTTGGTGCCATAGGTTTGATTTTCCATCAGCATCTGCTACTGCAATGATATTCTCTAAATTTAAGGTTACATAGAGAGTACCAGTCTTCTTACCATGAGCAATGACGAGTGCTCATTTGGTAATCTTCCATTCACAACCTGAAAAGGTTGTACTGTATCCTTCTCCATCAAGCTGTCCTACAGAAATCAAATTTCTTTTGAGACCAGGAATATGTCTCACTCGTGTCAGCTTCCAGGTGGTCTGGTTTGGTAGCTTTAGTCGGATGTCTCCTTTTCCGACGATCTTCAAGGTTTCATCATCAACAAGATGAACCTTCCCAAAATCACCACTGACATAGTTCTCCATGATTTCTTGGCATGGCGTGGAGTGGAAAGATGCCCCTGAATCCAAAATCCATGATTCAATCGGACTGTTGACGCTTAAAATCATGGCATCACCTGTCTCCTCCGTCATGTTGGCAGATTCCTGTGCGCCGGTATTTTTCTTCGGTGCTCGACAATCTCTTTTGAAGTGGCCCTTCTTGCCGCAATTATAACAGGTAAAATCTTTATTTCATGTTCTTGATTTTCCCCTTCTGGATTTCGATCTGCCACGATTTGAATTTCTTTCTGAAGTTCTCCCTCTGGACTCCGTGTGCAAGGCTGAGGAGGTTGATGCTTCACCCGATTCTCTCCGTCGAATTTCTTCGCTCAGTACCAGATCCCGAACATCGTCGAATTTTAATTTGCTGTTTCCCGACGAACTGCTGACTGCTGTAACAGTAGCATTCCAACTGTCTGGTAAAGATGATAAGAGAATTAAAGCTCGAACTTCATCATCAAATTCAATTTCCACTGAACTCAACTGGGTTGTGATTGTGTTGAGTTCATTTAGGTGTTGTGCCACCGATGCCCATTCCGTCATCCGCAAATTGAATAATCGCCTCATCAAATGAACTTTGTTTGAGGTCGATGGCTTCTCATACATACTGGAGAGAACCTTCATAAAACCCGCCGTGGTCTTTTCCTTTGCTATGTTGAAAGCAACATTGCGGGATAACATCAGTCGGATAACTCTGAGGGCTTGTCTGTCAAGAAGAGCCCGGTCTTCATTCTTCATGCCCTCTGGTTGTTTTCCTGAGAGGGGTTGATATAGATTTTTCTGGTACAGAAAATCTTC